TTTGACTGTATAATAATGTAAAACTGAATTATAGAAACAAGAATTAATGAGAAGGGGCTATTAAACGTTGAAACTAAGGTTCACGGTGTTAAAGGGAAGATACAACATTTGCAAACATAAAAAAAACACCGAAATGATCAAATTATCACAAAATACCTTACTGTTGTTAGGGATTGACAGTCTAAAGCATCCTGTAAAATCGTGGCTCCTGGTGTGCTGACATTTTCAAGAAAAACTGTATTTTTCCAACGTTGGTCGGCCAACTAGCGTTGGAGAAAACTTTTTTTTTTCTCAAAAACTGCTCCTATTTTTTTCAAATTAGTTATTCCGCATTTTCTTTGCAATTGATTACACACCTGTGAAGGGGTACGTAGCCTGCTAGACTGATTCTCTGATCTTACAATTCCCCAAAGTCTATAAATTGCTCCTTTTTATATTAAGTGGGGTCGGGGAACCAGACTACAAGAACACGATTGGTTTTCTTGGTTTTTCCAGCATTTACAAGCCCAAAACGTGAAACAAGTCTGTGTGATAGTATTCTCTATGACATACTAATCCTCCAAATCCATTTATTTCTGAAAAGTGCAGCAAAAACAAATGTTGTACATTCTCTTTACACCATCTTGTAATTAAACCTGACAAGTCATGAATACAGTCCTTGAAAATACACCTTCAATTTTTTGTTTTAACATTTTCAAGGGTATTTTAAATTAGATTTAATTAATATGTAGTTTCAAGCTTAGCATGCCTGCAGTAGAATACTGCACTTGTACACTCTAGACTGCTATGAACAACCTCAGGTTTTATTATTGTACCAAAGAGGTTGTAAAAAAATAATAGTATCAGTTCAATGGTTATCAAAAGGGCCTAATCCATTCTCATTGCTTGTGAGCGTGACTGCATGTATGTGTACATTGAATGGGCAAAAAATATTATAGACCTTCCGGTACATGTAAAATCCCTGATTTACACTTGTGGAGCCCTTAGGTTATGTACAACTGTGCTTAGTACGTATAAACCTGTTCATGTACCAGCAAGAGTGTGGCCATGCACCCACTGCATGATCACACTCCAATTTGCATAGGATGAGAACTTCCAACCAATCATGGCCCAGATTGGATCATCTCACGTGGGTTGTTCCATTGCTGGTGGGTGTGTTTATCAGTGACCATTCGTGTGGGCAAGACTTGTCAGAGCTGGTTTTGCATTGGTTTGTGTTGGTGCACTTGGAGGTGTGACTTCTATTTATAGCTGTGTGGCATTCCTGTGACCCCTTCTCTTGGATGAACCCAACTAATGAACAAGTATCATGCCCACCCACCTCCTATATATCTGACTGGAGCTTGGTGAAAACTTGCCAGAGATTTGATTGAATCTTAGCAAGAAAGATCAACTCCCTCAGTCTTGCTGGCAAGATGATATTTAAGTGGGCAATAGAAGTAGAAAAAAACTACAAAAAGCAAGTGAAAATGATTGGCAATATTGACCAAGTCAGGTAAGTCTAAGCTATTTTTGGCTATATTTTTTATTTTGTTTTTTTACTGGTTTTCGTAGGGGTGATGTTAAGAGATGGGGTTGGAGGTTCTCTTTTACATTTTCCTTTTAAGATTTGGTGTGTAACTTTGCATGAACTATAGATTGGACTAACAGATTTTTACCATTTAAACAAGGTTGTTTTCTCCCAGTGCAGTGTTGGGGTCATGTGTGACACAATGAAAACCCTGTTTTTAGAAGTGTTTTTAATACATTGTAGCAAAACTGCATGTAGTCCCCCTTTTTCAGATTGGATACATATATCCTCCCAAAAATTCATTAGTTTAACATGTTCTTTTTGCCAATTAAAGTTGTTTAGTGATGTATCAGTTTTAAAATGTAACAATAACCGGAGGGGAAACTTGGAAAAATACTTTTCGAACAGGTTGTTTTGCAGGCGAGTGTTTTTTGAGCTGAAACCTTTCAGCAAAGCTCCCAACATCATGCAAACATTACAAAACTAACTGTGTTTCATCAATCCTTTGATCAGCGACAATACTGGGGGGGGGGGGGGGGGATAGGGGGAGAAGGATTGAAAGAAAAAATATACCCAATAATTGCTTCGTGCAGATGCTGTTGATTCAAGTTGAATTGTAGCATGAAGATTTATTTTGTTCATGTACCCGGTTCTGACCATACCCCACCTGTGGGGTAATGTTCCTTTCAGGACACATCACCCCAATATTTTGACAATAGAAAAACATCACCCCAGAAGAGAATCTTTAGAAATTTAAGGGATAATGGGAACACAATGCTATCACCCCACTATTCCGTCTGGCTGGAGCGGACGTACTTGTAAGCTCATGGACACCTTTACATTTGTTTTGGAGCTTGTTTTTCTTAAACCAGTGTCTATTGTAAAGTGGTGCGTGGTACTTTCCCCGCATTTTTCCGTGGTTGGACTGTTTCATTTAACTTTTCTCTCGCCTTGGAACATTATTTACATTCAGAAAAGTTTGTCTGGCGGTGTGGGTCCGCTGTTTAGAAAGGACAAGGAAGTTACGAAAACCAATTGAAAATGCTTTTAGGCAACTTTGTTTTTTTCCAAATCTCCTGACAATAGCTGTGGCCGTTTCCCAGACTGCTTGATATTAGTGATCGGCAACATGAGAACTTGAGCATACAATGTAAAGCCAGACTTTTGTTCAGAATTATTTTTTTTTAATTTCCGGATTCTGCAGACCAAGAGCTTTCTAATAATCGTATAAAACTTTGTGGACTACATGTACTGTGTTAAGTTACGGAAAAATGGATCGCCAACTAAATTGAAGTTGTAGAACTGAATTTTGAGATGCGTGGTACTTTCCCCGCATTTTCCTGTGGAGCTAACCAAATTATTGGACTGTTTCATTTAACTTTTCTCCCGCCTTGGAACATTATTCACATTCAGAAAAGTTTGTCTGGCGGTGTGGGTCTGCTGTTTACAAAGGACAAGGAAGTTAAGAAAACCAATTGAAAATGCTTTTAGGCAACTTTGTTTTTTTTCTTCAAAATCTCCTGACAATAGCTGTGGCCGTTTCCCAGACTGCTTAATATTAGTGATCGGCAACATGAGAACTTGAGCATACAATGTAAAGCCAGACTTTTGTGCAGAATTTGTTTTTTTATTTCCGGATTCTGCAGACCAAGAGCTTTCTACCAATCGTATAAAACATTGTGGACTACTGTGTTAAGTTACGGAAAAATGGATCGCCAACTAAATTGAAGTTGTAGAACTGAATTTTGAAAAAATCGCTTTTAAAAATCCTGCTGTTGTAATTGCAGTGAATGAATAGTCAACAAATTAAACAAGACGAAAGTAGGTTTTAAAGATGTTTGATAGAAGGAAACAAAAACTTGGAAAAGGTAAAACAGGACTGACAGATTGAGGTTTGAAAGCAAACAAATTGACCACACTTTCAAATTTCGGCTCTGACCCACACTGTACAGCAAAAGGACAATATCGGACTTTATGCATATTTCGTGGTGACAGGTCCCATATTTTTTTTTAATGGAGCGAGCTTTTGAAATAAAATTTACTAAAAGTATGTATTTAACAGCTGATTTATTTGAAACTTGGTTATGATCATCACTGTTGTCACTGACCATAAATCCTTATGAAAATATACAATTTACCAAGGAAGTGCTCAATGCTTACAAGTTCAGGTAAGCAAAAAAATCACCCCATACATATCCCTTCTTCCCAAAAAGTGCCCCATTTTTGAGGATTACAAGTATGTAGGCTAATGTTTCAGTTATTTTCTGAGGTCTGGAGTTATGTCTGTTGTGTAAATGTACATGTAGGTTTCTGCTGGTACATTCTGACGGTGTTAATGTGATAATTTTAGCATACCCTGCTCCTCATCCGGAAGCTGTGATTTGTTTTATGGATAATGAGTATTTGTGAAGATAAATGCTGGTCCTCCTGTCCAGCAGGTGGGTTGAAGAAGTCACATACAGTGCAAAAAAACAACCAGCAAATAATTGATCAATTGAGACTATTCTCAACAGGAAGTAGGCTTCTCTTTGACACTTTTGTCCTGTATAATGTTCCAAGTTTATTTTTCTAAACTCGATGAGAGGGATTGAGTGTAGTCTTTTACTCCATCTTCCATTCTGTTCAACTTTAAACCTCCTGCTATTTAAGCAGTCACAGACAGTCAAAAATGTCCATCCACTTGCCCTGCTTTTACTGTTATCAAAGGCTAGTCACCAGCAGTCAGATCACATGTCAAGCAAGCACTGTGACTAGTCAAAGTCAGTTAGACCGTGAACAGACAAAGCAGGCAAGGTGTGGGCACAGCTGGGTTATCAATTATCCACAGTCAAAGCAAAGCTGTATCAACTTACTGGTACATAAACAGTCACAGCCAGTCAATCCTGCTTTACATACTATGTGTGTAGGCTGGGAATTCTTAACTGTTGAAAACAGTCACTTGTTTGATTTTGACTGAAAGGACTACTTGGCACAGAATGTATGTTTGCAAAGGAGGGTTAAATATTTTTTTTGCTATCACAGTACCGTAGTTCTGTAAATTTAAACAGTTTTGGTAAAAATACAAATTCCCATTCTGTTCTTTTCATGCACAGACATGTACAATGTATACTTCGTGTACCGTACATGCACCAAACTGACCATCAAGGCTAAGGGTTCTTCACATTGTGGAGGAGGAATATTTGAAAAGGTCAAATTTATTGCTGGTCATCCTAAATTCTTAATCTTCAGGGTAGGGAGTTTGGAAAAGCCTGAATGATTTTTGTTCTTCGCTCCTTGGATCAAAGGTTTATCTGAACAAATTGCAATGTTTTTTTTTTTAAGGGATACATGTACATTTTTAGGCAAATAAACCTGTGGTGCTCTGGGGCCCGGCAACTATTTTATGGTGGATTCCCCCCCCCCCCCTAAATCTCACCCCTGATTTGTGTGTGTGTGTGTGAACATTATCAAAGTATTTTGATAGGTCTTTTTAATTTATTTTTTCCTTCAGGAGCATAAGAGAGATGTTGTCCAACATATTCCGTGCCCACGGGCACTACTGCTCCGCCCATCCGTGGGAGGTCATTGTTGGTACCCTGACTCTCACCATATGCATGCTGTCTATGGACTATTTCACCAGTCTGCCCAAAGTCTGCGGCTGGAACTATCACTGCACAGAGACGCAGGTAATTTAACACAGAACAACCCCATCAGAGCATTGCTTTTTATTTGTCAGCTCTTCAATGTACAAAGTGTTCAACATTTAAGTGAGAATTAGTGAAAAAAATATGTCTTGGGGGGAATCAGTTCGCTACACAAAAAAATTAGGCAAGGCTGAGTGTAGTTTACAAAAATACTTACGTGTTCTTTGTTAAAAAATTATTCAAGCTGTTGACATGTTGGATTTTACACAATTGCCAGTATAGAGACTTTGGTTGAAATTGATTATGGGCCTTATTCACAAATCGGCCATATTGGATGAGATTGAGGTAAAATCTTCATTTTTGGAACTTTTGTAGAGAAATGAAACTCGTGAATAAGGCCCATAAGTTGTCACCGTTGAATTATTTCAAACTTTGAAGGACCCATTTGATATGTTCGACAGGTTGTAACTTATATCCAAATACCCTATATGTTACCCTCGACACCAAAATTGAACTCCAAGTTTTGCTGTATTTTTGATAAACTTGTACTTCAAATCAACCTCAGTACTTCAAATCTACAACAGTTTGTTGAATCTTCAATGGAGTATATGGACACACCCAAAAGGCATCCTGTGAAGAATTAGCAGGACAAAAAATAGGTTAACTGTAAAAATAAAGGTAAATTTCTTTTAGAATTGCAGTTTGTTTAAAAAGGTAAGTCTTGAGCTCTTTGGAAATATTATTTTTTTTGGAATTTTTCCCCCTAATTTTATTTTTATCCCTCCTTAGGATATGATGTCCTCAGATGTTATCATCGTCACCCTGGCCAATGCCATGGCCGTCTTCTACATCTACATGCAGTTCCATAAACTGAGAAAAGTCGGCTCCAAATATATTCTCGGTATGCAATTTATTTATTTTTTTTGTCATCAGAGGACGTGTTTCATAATCTTCCCAAGTTATATTTGTACAGTACTGATACACTATTTCTGTAGTATTTGTTCTCTATCAGTCATCTGTTTACAATGCTATTGTTGGAAATACTTGGGTGCTATTTAGGTGTCTCTCCCATTGTGTGGATTCTAAAATTGAATATGCTGCACTATATGTAGACATCTGAAGCTAAATATACGCGTCACCTATTGTCTTCTGTACTTGATCTTTGGGCTCGGAGATAAGTTAGTGTTGGCGGGGTACTGAAAGTTTGACCAAAATAAACACCCTTTTTAATTTTATTTTTGTTTGGAAATTGGGTCACAGAGCTTCTTTTGGCTACAGTTTTGTTGTCCTTTAAGCAATGTTATCAGTTTTGAGAGCACTCTGGTGATATCGTGGGTCTCAATTATTTTGGTCACGTTTGTGTTTGATAGTGATTAAATAGGATCCTGATAGAGCCATGGTAGCTGCGAGATAACGAAAAAAGGACTTGCTATCGTTTCTTTTCTGGAAATAGATGTGATCATGCCATCTAGGATGGTCTGGAGATGGCTTGCGTAATAATCAAACGTAGCCGAAAATGAAAATAATATTTGTGAAATAAGACCACCTTATTGCGCACACACAAAAACTTACTTGAAAAGAGTGAAATATGCTACTTACCAGAGCTGAAACCTTTCAGATTTTAATCTGAAAGCAGATTTTTAAAAACTTTTCCAGTGGGATTCCAGATTTTCTTTAACGATCCCACAAAAATGATTATTTAACGATTTTTCCACAAAACATTTTTTTTTTTCATTATAATTTCAAACTAGAGGTTGTAGGAACATCCACACGGTGTTGGGCCATTGATTACTGCAAACTTTGCCCAACACACCAACTCAATTTCAGATTTGTTTTGCCAAGGCCAGTTTCATCTCTGTACTTACCAGCTCTACAACTATGAAAAAATTTGGGTTTAGGGTCGAAGGAGAATCATTGTTCATTTGGTTGGGGTTTTTTTTAGATGTAAATCTGAACATGTTGTTTATTGTACGGTAGGTGTCATAACTACCAAACCCTCAAATGCTTACTGAAAATATGAAATGTGTTTGGGTTCCAATAAGTCCATTATTTTTTTCTTGAGGTGTGAAATCTGAGGATTTTGTTTCTTGTCTATCGTAGGGGTTGCTGGACTGTTCACCATATTCTCCAGTTTTGTATTCAGCAGTGCCGTCATTCATCTGTTTGGACTGGAGCTTACCGGCCTCAAGTAAGTTCTCAGTTAAAGTCTCATTTATAGGACCTAAGTAGAACAGACGCCCTAGCATAGACAATAGACAACCTAGTTACCACCTGTTTCCGGATTCTCCGGTTGTCTTTTAATGTCATAAACTTTTCTAACCTAAATCCTCTGAAATGAAAATCCTACTTGTACTATATTTTGATGAATTTTGGCCTGTACATCTTGGCCACTCGTAGAATCTTAATATTTAAAAAAGGAACAGCTGAAACAACAATAGTAGCAATTGAATCTAAAGTCTTAGCTAAGCCGCTTTTACTTGACACATACTTTGGTGTCCAAGTTTTGCCCGATTGTAAACAGTTTGCCAGTGTGTTTCGTTTGGACCCAGAGATTTCCTCACCAAAAACTAATTAGGAAGATGGGAAAGTTGACACAACCGATCTTCTTAAATTATGGGGATTTTTATTGTCGGCTTGTTTTTTTCACAGTGAAGCGCTGCCGTTTTTCCTTCTCCTGATCGACCTGTCCAAAGCCAGTGCCTTGACCAAGTTTGCGCTGAGTAGCGGTTCCCAGGTGAGTGGTGCCCCATGTACTATAACCAGTACTCACAAAGAATGTTCGGCTACCATGCTAAAAAAGTCTTACAATGGGTGTCATTAACCCCACCCCTTCAAAAAAAAATTCTGTCAAAATGAACTGTCACTGTTAAGTCAAAATGTCACTGAGCTGCCATGTGCTGGGTGTAAAATTTCTTCATTAACTCAGAACATTTGACAGAGCACAGGTGGTGTTTGGCTATAATTTCATGCCTTATCTTGCTCAGGATATGAGTTAAGTCTTCATTTTTGTTACTTGTCAATTTTGTCCATAAAAGGGTTGTGGAAAGATGTCAAAATTATTTTGGTGTCCGATAACAAGCTTGACCCACTTAAATGTACGTGATATCTGACCAGCTCAGTAAAAAAAATTATGCAAAGCGCTTCGTGAAAATATTCGTTCTGAATAATCCAGTTCGGTATTCCAAAATAGTCTGGTGCACAGCAAGATTCAACAGTTTTGTTTTTTCCGGAATGACCACAGCAGGCAAATGCACACAAGGCCATGAGGGACGTGGTAACCAAATCTGCATTCTGCACAATGATTCATGCAATCGAAAAGAGACGGAACTTTCGTTCGCACAAAAGTTTTGACACACAAGACACCTGAAGCACTTCACTGTCCAAAGGTTTTTTGCAAAATGTTGTACTTCACAGCACGATGGTGTGCAACTTTTCCTAGGATCAGCTGATTTCCATTGTTTTTCACTTCACGCTTATGCCATTAAAAAAAATTGAAAACACTTAATAAAGCCTTGTAAAAGTTAGAATTTCCTCTTTTTCTTTTTGGTTACTTCCCAGTTGTGTGCCTGCTTAAGGCTGTTTCTGAATTTCATGGCTACGGCTCGCAGTAACACACAATTCTGTGGGAAGTGGATTCAGCCGCTTCCATAGTCTCTTGCCTAGCCATAGCCATGCTAGACGTAGTCACTAGCATTTTGTGAAGAGTCACATATGTTTAGATATGTGGCGCATTGTAAAAATTACACTCTTTGTTGTTAACAGGGAGAAGTGCCGGAGAATATAGCCCAAGGCATGGCCGTCCTGGGCCCCAATATCTCCCTGGATGCGCTGGTCATGAGCCTGGTGATCGGTGTGGGGACTCTGTCAGGTAAGGCTTAATACAAACTATGAGGGCAAGTTTTGTGCTGAAATCTTGATTCAGTTCATGGACATGCTTACTATATTTTAAAATGAAATATTGTTGATGTACCCTAACGTGGCGCGGCCCCTAACGTGGCGCACTTTGATTTTTCGCCTGTAGCGCCTACCTAGAGCAAAAGTTTTAACTGAAATTTCACCAAAAGTGAAATTTCATCAAGTTCTAAACACTCCTGTTCATAAATCGCGAGTTTATTTACCCGTAACAAAGTTAGAAGAAAATTTTATTTTGGCGTGATTTTCCGATTTTATTTTCAAGTACAAAGTGAACCCTTTGAAAATGCCCCGAAAAATAAGAAAATAATTTTCTGACAAACATCTGGCTGGGTATGTAAGTAGAGATAATAATGATTTATCAAGTTTACAGAAATTCTTAAATGTTAATTTGGAATTTTTTGAGATTTATTCAAGTGCGCTTAGGGAACGTTAGGGAACACTCTTCCAATTTGTGCCCAAATTCCGGACGCCACCGTTTTTGAATTTCGGATTAAATTTTATGAAACCGAAGTTGTTCACAGAGGTTTAATAGCAAGCATTAATAAGGTAAAAGTACTAGTATTTTACTGCATGAATATCCTAAAGCTCAACCAGAAGAAAAAGTCCTTAATTTCATAAAAATATTTCTTGTGTTTTTTTTTTGTCTTTAGGAATTCCCAAGTTGGAAGTGATGTGCTGCTTTGGATGCCTGTCCGTGGTTGCAAACTTCTTTGTCTTCATGACTTTCTTCCCCGCATGCCTGTCACTTGTCCTAGAGGTAATCTATTTTTATATTTTCCATATGTTTTTACCAAGGTGTTTTCTTGCTTAGTATACAACTTCATTCACTAGCTTTAATGTAGGCCATATGGTAATTTTTGGTGTGAAATATTTTAAAATTGAAGTTTCTTGTATACCAACAACACAGACAATTGTCCCTAACTTTTGAGATCAATTATAAAGCAGGATGATCATTAAGAACAGTACATTGTACTAAAACAGCCAAACTGTGAAAAAAAAAATTTCATTATCTTTACCCTGCCAACTCATTTCACTCATCACTGCAGCTTTCCAACAATAACCCCATCGGCCGTCCAGTCTGGCAACTCGGCCAGTTCACCAAGGTGCTTCAGGAAGAAGAAGACAAGAAACCCAACCCGGTCGTCCAACGGGTCAAGGTTATTATGGTAAGTGAGGGGTGTGGCTGTACTGGAATTGAATAGGGGGGAGTTAAGAAGTTAAAAGTTGTATGTGTAATTTATATGGAAACCGTGCACAAGTACCCCCTCAACGGTTACAAAGGGAGAGTTGGGGGAGACCACTGGAAGGGGCATTCGAACGCATTGCCAATGGCCAGGGTGACCATAATATCAGAGCCAAATTCTGCTAAATGTACATCAAAAATCTGTCAAATTCCCCAGAATTACTCGAAATACACTATAAACACTTAAAATCACATGCCGATTGGTAGCCTTAATTAAGATTCCAATTACATAATAAACAATCTAGTCACATAAAGATGTTGTGAAATTATTGGTAAATTTCGGGCAAAACGCAGATCCGGCCACGACAAAGTCCGTTTCCCAGTGAACCTCAGCACCTAGACCAGCCAACCTGTCCCATTATGCAAGGGTTTATTTGAAAGGATTGAAGCTTTTTTAAACAAACGTACACTTTTTTGTTCAAATTTGCTGTTTTTTTTGTCACATAACCATTTTTGCAAAATTCTGCCAGAAATCTGCCAAAAAAAATCCATTCTGTCAAATTTTCTGTCAAACTCGTTTTTAACAAAAAATCTGTCAAAGTTAACCGAGAAATCAGCTAAAACGGTCACCCTGCCAACGGCGCCTGACCCTCACGGGAAGACACTGTGGGTTGTCGCACATTCAGAATAAAATAAGTTGTGCATAAAATAAGTCGTGCAAATAAAAAATTGAAGAAATATTAAAAACATTTCCAACTTGAATTTATTTCCCCCCAGTCCATGGGTCTGGTGCTGGTCCACGTCCACAGCCACCTGATGAAGGCAAGCGATAGCACTCTTGGCGAGGTCAGCACCCTGGTCAACATACCGGAGCTGGAGTTCTCCCGTAAAATTGAGCCAGAAATACCCCTCTGGCAGTTCAATCTGAAAAAGTAAGTCACAAAGGTCGTAGAACTGCTGAGCACACAAGAAATGTGGTAAGCAAAAACCAGATTGTTGGCAAAAAATAATGTTCAGACATGCGACTTTTCCTCGGATCCGCTGATTTCCTCGTTTTTTACTTCTCACGAATGCCATTACAAGTTGAAAAATACTGTACAAAGTCTTGTGTGGTTAGGAATTTCCTTGGTTTTTTTTCTTCTTAATTCCCATTTGTATGCCTAAACGTTATGTGATGTCTGTTGGTGTTGACTGACTTTTTGTTGGTCTTTTTTTAGCCAGAAATAACGGCCGTTCAATTTGAAATTGTTGACATTGTCACCGGCATCTTGTGTTGTTTAGGTCATTGAACTGTTAAGCACGGAAGAAATGTGGTTAGCAAGAAACAAGGTTACCGGCCACAATATCAAGTCATATGTATTGATGGTAACCGGTACTTCGCTAGTTTTTACTTAGCACATTAATTTGTTCAGCGATATTTCCTGCTTAGGACTACATTAAATATTATCCAAGTAACATGTCAGGACATTTTCAGGCTATGTCAACTAAAAAAAACTGCTTTGTGAAAAATATAATTGAAAGACTTAGGGGAGTGCAATATTTATGAGTCTCTTGCGGATGCTTTCAGATTAAGTCGTGTATAGCACATACCATTACTGCACTGCTCAGGTGTGCTTTTGGGGCACAGGCAAGCGACCGTTGTGCCTTTTTCTTTTCTGGTAGCCCTTTACATTGAATGTCTTTCAGCCTGGTAACGAGAAGTTTTCAATAAAAAAAAAAAAATGTGCAATGCTTTCCCCTCAGATTCACCAGCCTCGGCATGGAGCAATTGGCCGTGCTGCTCCTGGCTGCTGTCCTGACCACCAAGTACATCTTCGTTGACAAAACCGAGTCTGAATCCGCGGAAGAAGAGACACCGGAGGAGCAGGCGACAGATGGAGCCATCGAAAACGAGCCAGAAACACAAACAGGTTTGTTGACGTGCTATGAACCAATTTCAGGCTGTGTTTCGTTACAGTTGGCCGAGTTGTAGGTCAATGCAGTCACGAGTCAGACTGCAAGTCAATGACACTTCAGTCGGAAGAGAGTTCACAATTCAGTCACCAGTCAGATTACTAGGAAAGATTGCAGTTAATTAGAATTGGAATGACAGAGGAATGCCTTTGGAAAATTTCACTTGAAAAGCATTTTATTTGACAAGAGACTGGAATAGCTTCGATGACTTTTAATTGACTTCGGAACGTGATGACTTAATTACAAGTCTGACAGCTAGCACAAAAACACTTGTGCAAACTTAAGCAGAAAAATATTGTACTTAGCATGAATCCAGGTTCAGATGATGTAATGCCTTGCACACGCATAGAGATGTTTATTTCTGTAATCACTAATTGGGCAATTCCAGAGTTACGAAAGATTCAAAGGAAGTGTAATGTCCGTGACAAAGCCAATTAACCCTAACTCCCCAGGCATTAATATTTTGCTAGGATGCAATCTCAATCCTGCAAAATCCTCCAACTACCTCCATGTAAAAATTGCATACAGCCTCAATCATGCAAAATCTTCCGTTATTTCTTGAAAGTGGTCTTTGGAGGGGTGACCACTGCCTCAATCCTGCGAAATCCTCCAGCAATCACTGTTAATATGTTGAGGCAGAGCCAGTAACATCCTGGAGCAGTGCGGAGGATTTCAAGTATAATGCAGGCCTACATTTATGCACGGCTGAGCATAAACAACACAAGGTCCGGCCCAAGACCTTGACACAGTGCATCCTCCAAAATCAGCCACGCATTTTTGTCGTGTAACCTCAATCCTACAAAATCCTTCATTTTGCAAATAGGATTTGGGAGGATTTGGGAAGGTTAGGGTTATCCATGATATCTAAGTAATGATTCAGAGGAATGATTCAAAACTCCGAGTGTGTAATCTCCTTGACCAATGACCATTACTAGATGATGGATGAATAAGATTACAAAAATACATTTTCAGTTTATTCACTGAGTTTTAAAAGCTTTGTCACAGACATGACACAACACTACAATTGCCCTTACGCTTATCAAACTGTTTTCATTTTAATCTAAAATCACAGAAGAGCCGGCCGTCGTTGAGGAACTGCAGAAGAGCGCTTCCTGCGGAGTCCAGACAGACCCTGTCCGCTTTTCCCCCAAAGCCACCTTCACCGTCGGCGGGAAGGACTCGGACTCGGAGAGCATCGGAGACGAATCGGAGAGCACACGGGATGAGAATTCCAGACCCAGCTCCCCAACCGCTCCACGCTCCCTGCAGGAGTGCATCACTATCCTCAATTCAGGAGTGAGTTAGAACATTTTTCACAGAATTCATTATTAATTTTGAAAATTTCCATTAATGCATATTGAAGAATATTAACCCGCCTGCTATTTCAGCAGTTACGGACAGTCAAAATTCACTTGAACTTCCCCCGCTATACTTGTAACAAAGGCTAGTCACCAGCAGTCAGATCATATGTCGAGCAAGCACTGTGTCTAGTCAAACTGGGTCGACAGACAAAGCAGGCGAGTTGTGGTCACAGCTGTTTTATCGCTCTCCCGGAGTCAAAGCAAAGCTGTGTCAAGTTACTTAGGCAGTCCAAGGCAGTCAATCCTGCTTTATGTAGGCTGGGAATTCTTACGGGTTGAAAACAGTCACATGATTGATTTTGACTGCAAGGACAACTTGGCACAGAATGTATGTTTGTATAGGAGGGTTAATTATCTGTTTACCATTTTGTCTGTTTAATCCTAGTTTCAATATTTCTCTTGCTCGTGGAAGCATGTCTCATCATCTTTGTGATTTGGTCTTCACTGAATAACAAAAAACATCACAGTACTGACCCTTGCTGTACACTGTGTTGGGCATGGCTATTGATAACCAGCAATGCAACCAACCATAGAAGCGTAGTCCCAAATAGTCCAAAATAACACGTCACAAAACTTTCAAGGCAAACTTTGCAGAGGGTTAAAGAGTATTAACTTTTGCAAATTCACAGCACTGATTCTTGTCACAACACCACAAATGTGAATTTACCTTAATTTGTGCGTACAGTATGGACCAGCCTTTTGTCAAACTATAATTAACTATATTGAAAATAACCTTGATTGAACTTGCTTTTAGTTTTGCACTTTGCTGTACAATTCAATTTTAACCAGATTTGTCGTAAGCATGTTATGATGTGCACGATATGACGGTTGTAAAATTTGACTTTTCTGTAGGAAGTCATGGACCTGACGGATGACGAAGTGCGACTCCTCGTCGCCACCAAACACATCCCTGCTTACAAACTGGAAGACATCTTGCAGGACCCTGAGAGAGGCGTGGCCATCCGCAGACAGATCTACAGCCAGCAGCTGCCCAAGGCATGGGCGCTCAGTGACCTGCCTTACACCGGCTACCAGTACTCATACGTAAGTCAGGGCCTGATGGACTGATCCATTACCCACTACCCCATGGCGTTTTGACCAATCATGGCCTTGATATTTACATCCGACATGCATGCACAAAAGTCTCACACATGGGCCTTATGCACGAATTTACCATTTTTTGTCGAGTTCGCTGAATGTATTTCATAAATTGTTAAATGTTGAATGGGATAGTGCCAGACTATATATGGAGCCTTATTTTACTGTAATTTTTTTTTCAAATCTGGCTTAAAACATTAAGGAATGTTTAATTACAAATTTCAAATTTTGCATTGAAGGAGAAGTGTATTAATGAGTAATTTACGTTTTTTTTTTTTTTTTGCAAGTTCCCAAATTTTTTGTCTACTTCACTTTCAATTCAATATGGCCGACTCGTGCATAAGGCCCATAAGTATGACAGAGACAGCTGGATCATGCAGAGTGGCGCTGGACAGGCACATGTGTTGTCGCCGATGTGTGTAGCGGGCAGGGCCAAATGAATACATTTTAACTCTCAAAAAATCAAGCTGTTGGGTGCTAGTCGTGAGTCCTGCCGCACATGCTCCACCAGTGCATCGCATTCTGCTGACGTGCGAGAAACAACATTTATGTCTTGGTGCTGTGTGTATTATGTGTCACACACACAATATGTAGCGTACATTGAATGGACACAGCTGAAAATACGTATGCTATGCCACCAAATGTCTGCCACATCCAATGTAAACAATCAGGTTTTTTGGTCTTTTTTTCGGGAACGGTATAATACGTTAGGTTAGTTTCCTTTCAACCAGACTTTTGAAATACAAGTGAACAATCCAAACATAAAATGTGGGGATTTCGGTCCCTAATGTCCCTTTAACACTTAACACATTAGTAATTTCTTCTTTGTATGCTGTGTTATACTTTTGACAAGTCAGTCATTTCTTACTCTCGTTGATTTGCACACTGCAGGTCATGGGGGCTTGCTGCGAGAACGTGATTGGCTACATGCCGTTACCGGTGGGCGTGGCCGGTCCCTTGCTGATGGACGGAGAAGAGTTCTACGTCCCCATGGGAACCACGGAGGGTTGCCTGGTAGCCAGCACCAACAGGGGATGCAGAGCCATTCAGGTAAAGCACACATGGAAAGTTAAGGCCGGTCCCTGCTTTGTTTTAGTAGTACACAAATTTGACATCACATAACATTCTCTGTGAAATTTATTGGATTTGAGATGTGAACACTGTACTAGTGCAATACCAACTGAGCTATCCAGCCCTATGTTTGCTGTCTAAGATACAAGGTCGTTTCTTTGGATATCATATTTTATTTGTTTTATAAAATGTAGTAGGAAATCCAGATTTGACATCTTGGATATTGTATAACTTGTTTGCATAAACAGGCTGCCGGTGGAGTCAAGAGTATGGTTGTTGCTGACGGAATGACAAGAGGACCGGTAGCAAGTCTACCCTCAGCCAAGGACGCGAGGTAGGACCAAATTTTCTGTTAACAACGCCCCGCCCCTCCCCCACTTGGTTTGATCCCCAGTTAGTATTCTTGATGTCAGGTGTACATTTGTAGCTCGTGCCGGTTGCTACTGTGCTTGATGCCTGACCTAACACTCCCAGATCACTGAAAAATCTACCAGGTTAAAGTAATTTCACTGGGGTGGGGATTTGAACCTGTGACCGTTGCAATATCGTACTGATGTTCTGTATATCAACTAAGCTATCCAGCCTCATGTTGGCTAGTCTTTGTCCAAAACTGGATTGGATTTTGTTGCGTTAATGCAGCTGGTCGCGTTTCCCGGCAAGCGCAGTCTAGCCACTGTGACAGTGGAGGGTGCTATCAACAAGATGAATCATACCCATAGTCTTGGGAATGTTGACACTTGGACCCAAGACATTCCAAGCATACCTCAAAACACAATATAATCAAACTAGTGTGCGCACATGAGGTATGCTCAGAATTGTTTTGGGGGGTCTTTAGTGCCATTACTATCTATAAACCAAATAAGCTTTTCAACAAAAATATTGTCAGTTACTTTTTTAGATAGCTGCAAAACCTTTATAGGAACCAAATCCAGTTTTAGCTACCCATGCATACTCAAATAGGAACAGATCTGAACATAATGCTTAGGTCAGCACACAGCTTTCTCACACTCACAAGTATGAAGTATGTAGGACCCGTGTTCTGTAATTTTACTTCTCTCTGTTCTACAGCGTGGTCAAACTCTGGCTGGAGGACCCGGACAACTTTGCGACCATCAAGGAGAGCTTTGACTCCACCAGCCGCTTTGCTCGTCTCAAGAGCATCCAGGTCAGCCTGGCTGGGCGTCATCTCTTCATGCGCTTCCAAGCTTTCACTGGCGACGCCATGGGCATGAACATGCTGTCCAAGGTAATGTCAGAAAGATTATACATCAATGACTTGGACTATTTGTTACGTGTTCTGATTTTTTTGGACGATTTTGTAGAAGTGTATCAGTTCAAGAAATGCATAACCCAAAAATTAAACAGGCGGTTGGATTTATTTATTAAATCTTTCTGACATTAAGAACTTCAAATGGGCGTAATTTGGTCAAGGAAAGTCCAATCTATATTTTTCATCTCTATTTTGACATAACTTTAAGAAACCTTTTTTGACCAGCTGCGCAAAAGTGTCTGTTTTTGACAGAACATGTCTCAAATGTGAATATTATTCTGCAGGCGACATCCTTATTTATTTTTTTCCATTCCCCCCCCCCCCATATATCGGTTACCATGAGTGAATTGCTTTTCCTAAAATGTTACCAAGCTTCCTACTCGGAAACTTTTTTGAAAAACGTTGGTCATTCCTTAATCTTCAGGGTACCGAGAAGGCCTTACGCAAGATCCAAGAGCACTTCCCAATCTTTGAGATCCTGAGTCTCAGCGGCAACTACTGCACAGACAAGAAGCCGGCCGCCATCAACTGGATCGGCGGACGCGGCAAGTCGGTGGTCAGCGAATGCACCATACCAGCACACGTCATAGAAAAGGTACAGTTGTACTTTCCATCAGCATCTGGGTGAAGCGATAGCTAGAGTTGTGTATTATGAATACTGCTGAATGAGGAATAAAGGACATGTCGAATCCAGGTTCCTCCCAAAATCATTGATATGACATTCAACTGTGAACATATTAGCAGATTTTGCTTCTTTGTGCTATATTTAACATTCATAAATACCTAAGATGGTTGTCCCATTCCCATTGGTTTTGTTTTTGTATAATAAGCAAGATATGTTCATCCAAGTTCTCCCTCTCTTTCAACTGTTCCAGGTTTTGAAGACATCAGTCCCTGCTCTAGTGGAGCTGAACATCAACAAGAACCTGGTTGGTTCAGCCATGGCAGGGAGCATCGGTGGCTTCAACGCCCATGCCTCTAACATTGTCACTGCCATCTACATTGCAACTGGCCAGGTGCGTACCCATTAACACTAACTAACTCAGCGACCTTAATTAAAAGCCAACACCGAGGTGATGAATAATTATTTCTGAAGGGATCAATTATTGTTAAATTGCTGCATTGAACCTACGAAAGTAAGCCACCAAATCCCTTGGAGTTGGGTTTGAATCCTATTCTCTGAATTCTCACAGTTATCAGATTCTGTAACCCAAGGAGCCAAGGGGCCCTGATTCTAACGATCATGAGCAACTCATCAAGACATTATTTTCCCCTCCGTTTACCCTTGTGATAGGGGGGTGTGACCTAGTATTTAGGGTATGTTCCTGATCAAAGGGTCAGGGGTTAGAATCCAGCTGTTGGCCTTTTTTGTGTCCTTGGGCAAGCCACGGGTACCGACATAAGCTGGGGAGTAACCTACGATGGACCGGCATCCCATCCAGGGGGAATAGAAATATTCTCAGTCATTTCACGCCAAGGAAACCAGCAATAAGCCCCAGATTGATGGCCAATATTGGCTCGTGACAAACTTGACTTTTACTTAGCCTTGTTATGGACTTTGCTCATAAGTACCTCCTCGAGAGGTTTCAAATAGAAAGTTTGGGTAAACTACTGGGAGGGACTTTGACATGCATTAACATTGATGCGGGAACCAGCGTGGACATGCAGTGTGCCCCTCCTGTTGGAGTTCTTGCGATTGGAATGGAATCACTAATCATATCATTCCCCTGTTATTGTTTTTTTTTTGTAGGACGTGGCTCAGAACATCGGCAGCTCCAACTGCATCACCCTGATGGAGCCCTCGGGTCCCAAGGGGGAGAACCTGTACGTCAGTGTCACCATGCCGTCCATTGAGGTTGGCACCGTGGGCGGAGGCACGATCCTGCCACCGCAAGGCTCCTGCTTGGAGGTCAGTCCGTGATCCCATACAAATCTTTAACCTGATCATTGCTAAGAATTACGCTTCTCTGTTCTACTCAATTTGTTGTCTGCGTTGTGGGCCAAATTTGTTACTGTGTTTATTCAAGGACTGGCATGTCAAATTTGACAGAATCTACTGTTTGTCATATTTTTACATTGACCACCCCTCCTTGAAGACTGTGGCCAGATATTGGTTATTGATATGTAAAAATAATGGAGGGGGGAATATTGGTGGAAGGGACCTACTAACGAAACTTTGAGAAATTTGGAAAAAATGAGAAATTTTGGAAAAACGAAGGTTCCTGCAATGTGGGCCATGTTGTGGACCTCATAGTGGTTAGAGTTTTAACTGCCTGACTGACGATTCCTTATGACCTACATTTTATGCAGTGCTCATGAGTTTTTCCTTGAGGATATTGCACAAGATATAATTATTTGCAAAAGTGAAATTAACGCAAGCAGAATTCAAGCTGATCAGCCTCGGGTTTGTTTGGAATGATACTGGGCGAATGGGGAGAGTTGGGTTCCTATACGGTTTTTGGAGATTTCAGGAAGGTTCCTAGCAAAGAAAAGATAGTAAGGTTAACTCTTTGTGTTTTTGTTTCCTTGGATAGTAAGATTAACTCTTTGTGATTTTGTTTCCTTGGATTCTCAGATGCTTGGTGTCAAGGGTGCCTGCCCAGAGGATCCAGGCCGCAATGCCCGCACCCTGGCCCGTATCGTCTGCTCGACGGTCCTGGCCGGGGAGCTGTCTCTCATGTCAGCGCTGGCTGCTGGACACCTTGTCAAGAGCCATCTCAAACACAACAGGTCAGCAAACTCACGGAGGGCTTCATATCTAACCCAAATTGTATCTAAAAAAGCCAGTCACATAATCTGAAATGTTATAAGTTTGGAGCACCCCCAGAAGAAGATAAATGAATCTCTCCATATCTTCATGGTCTTCATATTTCTTCAGACATGTTTACCGCAATGAAGTGCATTTGACAGCGTGATTTCTTGCATAATACTGACTTCGGTGAATTTGAACCAATTTGGAATTAGACAGAGAGCTGTTTTATATTTAAGTCGGAAATAACAAGTGATTCTGGTATTTTGTGCTCTGTTAACGCAAAACCTTTTTCAGTGGTCTGACTGTCTTTGTCTTCCAACTAAAAAAAAAATGGGCGTTGACATTTAAATCTCGTTTTTCTAATACTGACTTTGAAATAATCTTTAACATCATTAAATAAAAAAAGTGGCAACATTGATGTCACAGTGTAATTAATTTATTGAGTAATGTTATTTGTAAGCCTATTCACAGAGCGACCCTTTCAGAAATGCTTTTGAAGGGGCCAAATTGAAGGGTCCTTTATTTGCAGAATCCATGCAAGCAAAACCTAAAATCAGCCAAAATTTAAGGCCCAACATCCTTGCAATCTGTTCACAGCCCTGAAATATGACTAGAATTTTGTAATGATGTACCTATTGTTGCAGTGAGTCTAAACAAAGATTATTTAACTGCGTGTATTCTATAGTAATTTCTCATTTTGCCCCTCGATGTTGATATTGCCACAGATCCTCACAGTGCGTGACTAACAGCTTGTCCAAGGGCCTGCCCACCATCCCCGAGCACAAACGCAGCAAGTCGCTGGACCTGAGCTCCCCACGCCGGGCTGGACGCCACCTGCTGGACCAAGTGGGCACCTGCACCGACAAGGCCTCGTGACCCCATTCCTCAAACATTGGTTCCGTCTCTGAAGCTTCGGCTTAGGTCTCCAGCTCAGCGAATGGAATAGTGTGTGTGAACAGAGACAGAAGTCGAACCTGAAACCGAGATTTCAGAAATAACAGTACCTAAGTCAGTGCGATTCCCATATCCGTTGCCACAGGACAAAATAAGTATGACCAAACGTCACACCTTTGGGTGTGTATTTCAATCAAAAGATTATTTAAATGTTGAGGTTCGTGCTTACAGATAAGTCTATTTATAGTGACTGTTCTATTCATACGTTGTACATGTACTATTATTTCTTGTGGTTGATCAATAGAGAACCATTAGTTTTGTAAATATGGTTGTTGTTCAGTATCACACATTTTGCTCCAGTCTCTACGATTTTCCATTTTCTCATTCCCTATTCTACATTTTTGTGTTTTTCTCCGTTCCAACAATTTGACAATCTTTATTATTTCAGAACCTCCATTGTTTGTTTCATTCCCTTAGAGTAATTGCTTTGTTGTTTCTTGACTAAAAATGTCCATCCTGCATGAATTTCTCAACTGTGGTTATTTTTAAAAATGAAATGTACAGTTAACCATAGTGTAATTTGAATAGCAGTGTGAGATAGTGCTGCACGGTGTGGAATTGTATTCGATTATGCAGCTGATGCGGTTACACAATCGTTAGATGAAGGAGAACTGTACCAAAGAAGGGGACGTGAATTGTCCCAGGATCTTGTCCCAAGATCTTGTCAGCTGTGTGTATAATGTATTGTACATGTGTATATGAGTTAAAATCATATTTTCTGTGGAATTTTCAACGCGGTATTACCTGTGTTAATAGACATTGTGCCACTGCACCACCAAGGGTGAATACAGGAAACACAAGTGTATTAAAGCTATAGTCCATCATTTGCAGCCAACTGGTAATAACTGGCATATTATTGTTGAAAAACATACTTGGTTGAAAGATACTAAGTGGATTAAACTCCCTGTGAAATTAATCTTTCTGGCAAGCTATCATTTTGAAGTAATCAACGAAAGAAGGCCTTTCCAACGGTGCGTCTTAAGATGCACCGTAGGAGAATTTAAATTAGTAGTTCGTTTTGTTATTCGGCCCAGCACGCGCAAGCATTGGCACGACGCACAGACGCGCACGGTTGCTATAATTCGTCGGATCAGCGCGCGACATCGCGTATAGCTGCAATTCAAAACAATTCAAAACATGATTCAGCAACTTTTGATTTGAAATTGAGATCCTAGAATGCTGTTTTTCTCGGAATATACAGCTAAAGCTGAGCTGAAACTTCATCAGGTTAGTTGTTCAGTATCTTTCATTAGATTTTGAACACTTTTGTTGCTTCAAACGAACAAAATGCACAAATTACAAATGATGGACTATATCTTTAACAAAGGACACTTTGTGTAGTTGTCGTTTCATCACACATCAGCAGTCAGTTGCATTTCTTAATTGCACGCTGCCCGGTTTGATGTGTTCATAAAGGTGAGAATTACTCACCTTCAGTCCATGTCATTCATGCACACAATGCCATCTGCAGATACTCTACGGAGTACAACGAAACAAAAGTGACAGAATTTAATTAACAATTTGAAGGCCAGTAAAACCCTAGACAAACCATCAATCCACTTTAATATGCCCTGTGTGTAGATTCTAATCATTTGAAAATGCACGATCCTCTCTTACCCTCAGAAAAAACAATTATTTAAATTTGAAGTGTATATAACGATAGAATTGAATGCATGCCATATAATCTTTATTTGCTTGTAAGTGGGGAAACTGCAATTATAATTGAATTTGTACAAATTCTGCTGAATTTCTGTTTGCTTGCTGTAAAAAACAGACTCGTGTACGCAAATGGTTTTTTTCGTACAAGCAAAATGTATGCTAGCGGTTGTCGTATTTGATACTCTATTATCCAAAGAGACCATTGTCGTATGCTTCCTATTTTTGGGTGATGCAGTGCAAAGGGGTGGCATGGTCTTTAAACTAGCCATAGATACAGTGACAATCTGAAACAGAACTTCAAGTGTACACTTATGTAAGGTGTATTTTGCAAGTGTGTATAAAATAGCGTTCGTGAGAACATTAGAGCTTATAATTTTCGTTTGGAAGCGATGACATGCACAGGGACAATTGTGCACAAAAGTCCACATATGATGTATAGAATTTTATAAAAATTATATGAAGTTTGTTATAGATGTTTCAAAGATGAGCTGTTTCGTTTGCCAAACTGGATTTCATAAAGTTAAGAATACTGGACAATTTCCACTCCTACACTCAACCAAAAAAGAAAGTCCCCCCCCCCCCTTCCAATACTTTTTTGTCTAACTCAAAAACTACTGAGCACCTCTCGCCTCAAATAACGACTAATCAGTGCAGAAATTCCTTAGCAATCCAGCCATACTCTTTATTTGGCAAAAAACAGTGATAATGTGTACGAAATTATGCAATGTATGACAAATGATACCGAAAACAGTTGCAGTTTTGTATACGTGCAAGTTGTGGTTCACACTCACCTGGCACATATTCAAAAGAGCAACTATATTTTTCGGTACCATTTGTCATAAATTGCATAATTTTGTAAACATTCTCACTGTTTTGGGTCAAACGAAGAGTATGACTGGATTGCTAAGGAATTTCTGTACTGATCAGTCGTAATTTGAGCAAGATGTGCCCAGTAGTTTTTGAATTAGACAAAAAAAGTATTAAGGGGGGACTTCCTTCTTTGGTTGAGTGTATGTGTAAGTGGGTTTCTTGTGAGTTTTACACAGCTTGCTGTTTGAATAGCACTAACGCTGTCTGCAAAGAGCGTGCAGAATAAATGTTTTCATGAAAACCATCTAGAACTAGCCTCATTTTGTCTGTGACATGTGTAGACTTCTAGCCTGTTTGTGTTCCCCCTCATTTGTCACTTGTTCATTGTGTGTTTGTCATTTCACCTTTTCATCATTAGAATGACAAAAAAAGCCATCACAGCAAAGAATTCACTCCCTCATCATACATAAAGTGTTACAGTGGAGTGCTGTGGCTTCATGTTTTGGTTTGCGAATTCGAGACTTTGTGGGTTATTCTGCAAATGTGGGGTCGGAGTCATGCCAGTGGTTTAGGGGGATGAGCCAGGGGAGGATTGGTGTAATGCATGTGGTCAAAGAAAGGGACAGGCCTGTTTAATAGCCAATATTTTGAAACCATGGACTCTTGTATTATTATGGGTACCAGGTAGGGAAATGCAGAAAGATCGCAACTGAATTGAAAGACCTAATTCAGACACCCATCTTAAGTACCTTGTAACCCTGTTTTCCAATTCAATTATTTTTTGTTGGGGGGAGAAGAGAACAAACATAGTCCTAGAGTGTCACACAAAACACCTTATGGCAATCATGATGTACTAAGATGAGCCAAAAAAGTCCACATACATGTTACGCTGGCAATATTGCATAACAGTCCTTTCCTTGCTTCCAAAATGCAGTCAATTTCATGTCAACTTTCATGTCGGTATGTGTTGGACCTTTAGCCCAAACAAATACCCCAATCCCGGGCCAATCCCTAACCTGACCCCTACCCTTCTACCCACCTCATCACCATGACAACTGTCCTTACCCTTCTATGTTTGAACCCTTCATTTTGGCAACTCGTTCAACTCCATTTTTTTGTAAGTTTGGTTTAACTTAAACAAATAAACTTGAACTAGCATGACTTTGCCTTGTAATGCTCCAAAACATGAAGACAAATACCATACCCATATTAAGCACATCAGATTCCTATATGTACATTATTAGTATTGCTAATTTAGCAATAGTCTGAAAAGATTAATTAAAGGGCCAGTTCTGAATTATTTATGAATTGTTTGTGACATAGACAAGATGTATATTTGAAATTTTTCTGTGCGATGCTTATACTCATGAGCTGATATTTAGATGGTTTATGAAAAGTTGGTTTCATACCTTCGGTTCCATTATTTGGTCCCTCATTTACAGTCCATGTGATGTGTAGTCAATGACATTTTCTTTCTTTGGTTAAGGTATGCTGGACAGCCTTAACTGAAGAGAGATAGCTATGTACCTGTGTTACATTTTTGTTTGACTTAATTAGTGTTTAGGTTCTTCAGTTGGAGTTTATGTAAAGTTAGATTGAGCTAGCTATTCTACAAAGCTTGTCTCTAATGACACACTGTGTAAGCCATAACACGAACAACATTTTTTAAAAGCTTCTGCCCAAGATACTTGGTTTCCAGTGTTGAATGGGGCAGCTTAATTCTTGGGCATGTTATTCCTTAATGTATATAGCTGGTAACCATTTTGGTGCCAAATTATATTGGCACAAGGTACTAGACACAAATTGGGATTATAGCATTTTGTGCATGTTGTGAAATTGTGACTTCGGTTACTTGACATGTGCCTTATGACGAGTCCTGTGCGATTCTGATGGGCACATGCCGAAAATAATTGTGTGTTTATAACCTAATCTATAGTGGCCACAGTCAGAATACATTATTTAAGGAAACCCTGACCTTGTGCACATGCAAACTGCAAAAACACCTACAATTTGACTTAATGGCTACGACAAGCATGCAAAGCGTGGCCTCATATCAGAAATTGCTTCTGGTTGCTAGGTTTAGCTGCCTTGTCAAATTATTCATTGTAATTTGTTAATGAGCCAAGCCACATTGCATGGAAAGGTACTTAAATGAGAGTTGGGCAAAAATCGTTAATTTGACTTTGCTCTTACAATTGCAGTAATGTCATTTAAAGGCACGAGAATCATTTCCATTTATCCCTAAAGTAACCTCCCGAATAATTATCAAAAAGTGTACTTGGATTAAAGATCGTACTGACACTACACACCTCGTGAAATTATTTCGTCTGGCTTGCTGTCATTTCGAATAAATCAAGAAGTGTATAGGTGATATTATGTGCATGGTTTTTCACTGTTTTCTCAAAAAGTGTAATAACCGCTGTGCTGAAACTTCAACAGTTAGGTTAGGTTTTGAACATACTAATTTGGATTTTGAGTGGTGTTTATTATTGAAAACGGAAAAAAAATGCATGAAGGCAAATGATCCTATATATGCCTTCAACTTTCAGAAAATTGATGCTGTTTAACGTTTTAATGCTTGTATGTTTAATGCACACTGATTGAAAAAGGGTATATAATACACATGCACATCAGTAAAAACCTTATGAAAAATCTTTGTGCAGATTCTGATGGGTTTCCATTTTGTTTTGCAATTGTTCTAGTTGGACTTTGATATGCTGTATTTGTTTTGTTGACATGCACAAAAGCTTCGATTCTGCTGTGGAACTTGCACTCTGTATATGTGGGTAGTTCTATAAATGTGGGGTCCATTTTGTTTTCCTGTTCCGTCATTATGACTAGCAAACTACCCGCCCAACAAATACAAAAAATGTTTGAAGTCCTAATTCTTAATGATACATGTATTTGGATGGCAAATTACTAAGTACCAATTAAGGTTGCAGGGACAGGAAAAAATGTCAGACTTTGGACCCGAAATTAATAGAATGACCCAAGATAATTTAATTTGGTGTAGTCTGTGCAGGTAGCTATAGTAATGTACATGTAATAGTACAAAGTCTATAGCCTAGAGGAACAGTCTGTAGTAAATATAAAATGTGTATGTGTTTGCCTTAATTCTCAGCATGTACATAATAATGCAGAATAAACTTTAGCAGAGCAAATTATATTTTCGTTTCTTGTTTCAGTGACACCATTAGTTTTGCTTTATATTCAGATGCTTTGAATTGAACGTTGAATTGAATATTAGGAATTAAAATGATGTCCTGTTTGAGGGATGTTGGTCATTCGAAACAAATACTAAGGGAGAAACTGTCTCAGATATTTATGAATTGTAATTGAACTGCAATAGACCATTATGTTGCGGTCATCTTGATTTTTTCCCCCATTTAAATCAACGTAATCAAAGCGAGGCTGGAAAGAAAAATAGTCTGGTTCCTTTTTTGCACAAAAAATATTAGCATCCATTACTGTTATTGAATACAAGAAATATGACTGAAATGGTGGCAGCACTATGATAGAGGTCTATAGCAGCTGTTTCTACATGCATTTAATTATTTGGATATTGATCAATATTCTTCCTTTATTCAGGAATATGTGCGATTTGATGTTACTTTCAAACAATTTGTCCAGTGATCGAGTCAAACATTGTAGACATGATGTTGCATGATGTATCAGTGAATGAAAATACCGTTAAATTTAATTTTGTGATTGAAAATTGCTTGAAAATGAATTTCCTTCATTTAAAACCATTAAATTGATTTTTTATTTTATAATGGTTTATTTGTGTAGGCATGACCATTTCTGTATTATTTGATTGGCCAAAGTCTATGTGTCAAATAAAATTTAGGGAACAAATTAAGTCAGAATGTTATATTATTTCTTGTTCATTTTCAGCTGGTGAGTTGGTTTGTTTGGCACTATTTATCCTTATATAATTATTTATCCTGATATAATTCGGTGACATGAAATGTTCCATTCCACTCGGCTTCGCCTCGAGGAATGGAACATTTCATCTGTCACCTCATGAAATTATTCTTACCATTGCACTCACAAACATTCATTATTTGTATACTTCTTCAAATGAATTTCAGCGGTATGTGCACAACGTCTGTTGCAATCACCACGCAAGAGGAATGCACGCGCATGTCTGCACGGTGAAAATAGTATTAAAGACAGTCCATCATTTGTAATTTGTGCATTTTGTTCGTTTGAAGCAACAAAAGTGTTCAAAATCTAATGAAGGATACTGAACAACTAACCCGATGAAGTTTCAGCTCAGCTTCAGCTGTATATTCCGAGGAAAACAGCATTCTAGGATCTCAATTTCAAATCAAAAGTTGCTAAATCATGTTTTGAATTGTTTTGAATTGCAGCTTTACGCAATGTCGCGCACTGATCCGATGAATTATAGCAAACGCGCGCGCCTGTGCGTCGTGCCAATGATTGCGCGCGCTGCGCCGAATAACAAAACGAACTACTAATTTAAATTTTCCTACGGTGCATCTTAAGAAGCACCGTTGGAAATGCCTTCTTTCGTTGATTTCTTCAAAATGAGAGCTTGCCAGAAAAAAATAATTTCACAGGGAGTTTAGTCCCATTACTATCTTTCAACCAGTATGTTTTTCAACAATAATTACGCCAGTTACTTTTTTGGATAGCTGCAAATGATGGACTCCGGCTTTAAAAGTGTGCCCTATCTAAAAATAGTAGTTACGGAAACAATGTTGCAACCTGACGCCACGTTTATTCTTCATATATCATCTGAATAAAGGTCAGTCGTTGCAAAATGTTGAAAAGACATGAATTTGGGACCGAGAAACATTTCCAATTTTGTTAAGAATACTTTTAAAAAAATTCTCGACTCTCCATAGACTTTGTACACAACTGCTGAGGTAGCATCTGGATACTACATTCTTTTAATAGTTACATGCCAAATTGTTACCACCGAGTGTTTTGTTTTGCCGAGTACATATTCCCTCTCTATTGATCAAGCCAGGATCACAACAAAGTCATCACATACCCCAACTGAAAAAATATATATAGGAAAGCATGATTGTTTATGAAGAAGCCAACTCTTCATATAAATGTTAGCGCTACCAAAATTTGTTAAGCAAATTTACTTTATTCATCTACTAATTCAGGTATGAAAAATTACAATAATAGTATACACCTTAAAAAAAAAAATAGAGTTTATCTTTAGGCAAAATTTAATGGAATAACATTCCCAAAATACACTTGGCAATATTGTGACAGAGTCTAACTTATAAACATGAAAACACAAAAACATTCTTAATTGTCCCCCATCTGAAGTAAAATCACACTTACGAATAAAAAACTGAATGGCATTATGTGCAACTCGTATTTCATTGAACAAATTATAGCAATTAAAATTCCATCCATGCCTAACTGCTTGAGACATACATTTGAAACCATGGCGAGACTTAAATGAGTTAACAGAACGCAAACAATAAAAAAAGCACTATAATTATTCTTGTTAGCCAACATTGAATCGTGGTCATTATGATTTCCTAGGTTCAATATCTGCAGAGGATTACAATGCAATGACAAACATGTATTATTGCTCACTCTACATCATGATTCATTTATAACCAAATACAGATTTTTTTTAAAAATTGTTTACCATGACTTTTATTTCTATTTTACATCATTCACACCTGAATAACATTTTGGGATGGTTGCTATAGGTTCTGTTGCCATAGTGATTCCTCTCTCATGATTCAAGACCAAATGGCAATTTGTTTTAAAATTTGTTACCATGAACATTGTTAAATGGTTGTTTTACATCATCCATATCTGAATGGTTGCTATGGATTCAGTTGCCATGGTGATTCCTCTCTCTCTCTCTTACTGATCACAGTGGATCATGACCTTGATGGCTCCTCCTGCCCCGGTCCTAGACGTCTCAAATGCCTCCAGTGTCTTCTCCAGGGGGAAGTGATGAGTTATCAGTGGCTTGGGATCCACCTTGCCGGACGCAACCATCTCCAGGGCAAGAGGGTAGCTGAAGAGTAAAGAAGAGAACAATTTACCTTAGTGCAATTGCCAGATTGCGTTACCAGGGGCCAAAGTAACCCATTAGCACACAACACCTTGGTTTGGGGCAGTAGAGGGCACTAAAGCCTTTGCAATGGGCTAACGTTATAAGCAGAAAAGTCACACTAACTTTATCAGAAAAAAACTGTTCAATTTGTGGTGTACTAATGCTATGCTAACATCTGTGTTTGCCAGAAGTCTTGTATTGATGAATCACGTCTTTCAAAATTTCAGATTTGAAGGCATTGCTGTGGTTGTTCAGCATACCACACATCTCACAGGGCTGTCAACCCTGAACCCCCTACCCTCAACCAACCTCAAAAGTCACTGTAATTATCTATCAGTTTGTCACTCACCAGTTGGCATATCGCCAGATGCCACGGATGTCCACTTCCCTCAGAGCTGCACTGACCATGGGCACATTGACCGTCAGTGGGCCCAAACCAACAAGAACCAGGACACCACCAGACTTGGTCGCCTACCGAAAAAAAATCAATACAAAATAAACTCTGACCTGCCCAAATCTGTCAAAAATCCAGCAGAGGGTTTTGAAAGGTTTTACAAGATTGAGGGAAGGAGATCCCTACCACTTTCATTTTACAGCAGGCTTGAATTAGTTTAATAAAAACAGTGTGTGAGAATTGGATAGATTCCGCCCATGAAATGGCAAAGGAGTTGGGGCTACTGTGTTTTTGTCAGCTCTGTGATTGTGGTACACTAGACAGACCAGACTTTAATGATGAAATTACACACAGGTCGTGTCCCTGAGCAAGAGGCTTTACAGCAATATCTTACCTCATCTACATATATATATACCAACAACAAAGAGGGTTGAAGACAGGAAAGATGAGGCCGTCTCTGAATTTGTTAATCCGTGGCTTCAGCTTTAATTTTTGCCAGTGGCAGCTACAGTAAATAGCCGTAGCCATAGACAAACTTGCTAGACTTACATAGATTCCTGTCTGAATGCTGGGTTCTGCTCCAGTGCACTCAATGCTGATCTCCGGCTTACATCCCATTGCCGCCTCCACTCTACGTGCCATCTCCTCAGCGTCTCGAGTGTCCACTCGCAATGCATGATGGGCTCCTAGCTTCTTGGCCATGTCCAGACGACCCTGGTCCAGGTCTTTAATCGATGGAGGTAGAAAGCAGATTCACTCATACATCATTAACCTTCCTAGTCTTCTGCATGTTACAACCCTTCGACTTTTGCAAAACCACTTTTGCCCATAGAGTTAGGCACCAATGCGTCAAATTCCTTCCAGGTAATCTTCTGTGGAGTATGGATAACAACTCAAGTCCCTGTGCAATCCTTTTGTGTGGTTAAGCTCAGGGCAAGCAGCTTCACTGCTCTCCATAGTGCTGTTTTTTGTGTGTGCAGTGACTCGCTGTGTGACACAGTTACTTTAACACTTCATATCCCTTCACCTGAAATGACCTGCAGGGACTTTAAAGGGTTTTCCACATTTGTCTGAATAACGACTTCCCACTAGGAGGGTTAATACCTTATATAGTTCTGTTAAATCTTTTTGGTAACTGATAGTGGAGACGTGTTTAAAAACTTGGCAGCTTGGTTAAAGTTTTGTTGACCAGGAATTGATTTCACAAAACTCATCATAAGTTATGATCCACCAAGATGCATTGCAGAACTACGATCAGCTGTAGCTGCCATGGTTTCTAAAAAGGATTTGACTGAACTCATCATCGAAGTGTTTTTTGTTTGTTTATTTAAAGACAAATTAATCTTACCAGTGATGGCAATGTGAGTTGCTCCCATGGCCTTAGCAGTCAGCAAAGCCAGCAATCCGATAGGTCCTGCAGATGTACACATTGTAATCAAAATAAACTAGAACCATGGAAGATTTTTAAGGTAGCTTCTCAATTTGAGACTCTAATATTGACACTTGGGTAGCATGACAAAGTTGGCGACTTTCAGTAGCAACGTGATTCAGTTCCTTAACACTGAATAGTGTCCAAGAAATCGATTACCCAAAATTTGATTGGCCCCAGACATCCTTATAAACCAAACGAGATCAAAATCATGCAATACACTGGGGACTTTGCTTGAATGAGATAAGTGCTGAATGATTCTCAATGCTTCAAGCATGAACACTTTAAAAAAATCAAGTGGAACCGTTATGGGACAAAGATTTTGTTTTGGAACGCATTGTGTTTGGAACACAAACCTGCTCCCAGGACCAGGACACGACTTCCGAGGCGGACGCCGGCCCTGCGGCAGGCATGGACACCGACTGACAGCGGTTCCAAGAGGGCGCCCTCTTCCAAGGAGACATGGTCAGGGAGTCTACAAGAAAAAAGAAAAAATGAGCACAAAAACAGCAACCATGCAGGAGGGTTTGTGGCTGTTTGCAACCATTTTTCGGAAAGGATAGGCAATGTACATGTATCCTTTCTGTAAATTCTTTTCTGCAAAAATGTTGACAATGGCTCATCTTTAAACTACAATATGCAGATGGCCAATATCTGGGCAGTCTGCTTCTTTTGTTTTGGAAGGGGAGGGGGCGGGGGAGATGGTGAGTTGGAACAAACTTTGTTCAAATTTCTGGACACAAAGTGGATTCTATGTGCAGATATCCATGCAGCCTTTATCTTTCCTTTGTCTGTGTGTGTATTACTGTGTCACTACCTAAAGCCATTGTCTGTCCATACACAGCAGGAATGTTGCAAACCCATCTGCAACTCTTTTGAGAAGTCCGTTTTGTTATTGAACACTCACATCAAATGTGAAGGTATTCCTCTACCCTTTCAGTAAAATTTGTCAAAGATAGTGCATACTTGAAGCAGAAATCAGCAGCGTGGCAGTAATAGCGACGTAGGGATCCGTCATCCGGTGGAGTGGCGCAGAAGTAAACGTCAGGGCAGAGATTGTAGCGCCCCTCCTTACAGAACGAACACATCCTGCAAGGGACTCCGGGCTCGATGGCCACACGATCGCCTGCAATACATCCACATTAACTGATTGGTACTTGTATTACATGAACATTGAATTTATTCCCTAAAACCTTTACAGTGCTGGAACAGTTTTTGGTGGTACAAGGAGTAACAGGTAGGGCTGCTTTGGACATTTTAGTAGTAACAGGCAGGGCAGTTAAGGCAGTACAGCGAGTAACAGGCAGGGCAGTCGAGGCAGGGCTAGGCTTAAAGGCAAGGTGGTTCAGGGCGGTACATGGACTAATGAGTTAATCCTGAATAACCACGTCTTTTTTTACAAAGATTTTCTCCAACTGTCAAAAGGGCAACACTATTCCACGAACCAATGATACTTTTGTTTTGGCAACAAAACAGGAACATCAAGCTTTATGTGGAGAAATCCTCATGTGATGTGGTGGACAGTTTTGAGGCGATCAAAATAGTGCAATGCCAAATGGGTTTTGGGAGACTCTGTTCCCGAAAGCACCACGTCCGACAGACTTGGAACAGTTAGGGGTAGTCAGGATGAATGGATCATGAAGGGTACCGAGTCTGCTGTCACGATGATAAAAATGTCAAGGTCAAGAGGGCAGAGAGGTAAAAGTGAGCCTGAGAGTTGATAGATTTCTAGACAGTGAGCAGCATTTTGAATTTAGCACACTTCTTTGCATTGCAGGGTAATCCTATAGGACAGCACTTCCCATTAGTCAGTCAGTCAGATTGGTGCAGAGAGCAGTGGCACACCCAAGGGGGTGGGGCGCTCAGGGGGCTTGAGCCTCCCCCCCCTCCCCCGAGGTTGTCATTTTTTGTTTGTAATATTTTTTTTTTAGTGCCACGATTTGACCATGGTGATATGTATGTGGCCTATATTCAAGTATAAAAGGGCTATAAGTGGTGCCACCAACGTCAAAATAGTCCAACCCCCCCCCCCCCCTAAAAAAAAAAACCCAATTTTTTTCTGCGGCCAAAATTTTTGGCAACATTTTTTGAATTTTTTTTAACTTTTACAAAATTTGGAGAAAAAAAAATGTGAGCCCCAAAAACCAAATCCTGGGTATGCCACTGGCAGAGAGAGCACTAGGCTGGCCCTCTGGGGCCAGCAAAAGCACTTCCTTACCGACTTTCAAGTTGGTGACCCCTTCACCAAGAGCAGAGACGACCCCTGCAGACTCGTGGCCGAGAATCATGGGAGACTTGACGATGAAGTCGCCGATGCGGCCATTGACGAGGAAGTGGACGTCAGAGCCACAGATTCCCACAGCGGCCATCTTGAGCTGAACCTCTGAAGTTGTAAACGAGGGACCAAGTGGAATGCAAACAACACATGGTGTGATTGTGTGTTCTGCAGACTGAGTTCTAATAGTGTGTCTGCTAAAATACTTAAATTTCTTACCATATTTTTAAAGAACTTTTTGAACAAGATCTCACATAGTTGACTTTGGTTCTTGCGAAATGACAGTTACTGCACAGTACACTGAACAAGAACTAACTTTATTGATAAGGCAGCACTCAGATAGATTGTGGTTTTATTTTGAACAGAGTGAGCCGGCAGTGAACAGCAGGCGCGGCAATTTGCATTGAAGGTTTTGTTCAATTCTTATTAAAATCTCACAGATAATGCACTGTTGAATAATATGTATTTCAGCAAGGTAATTAAGGCTAAAATGCAACAATGAAACCCAACAAATAGATCCCTGAAGTTTTCAAGTACTGGGAAGGCACCAACCATTTTTTCCTGGCAAAGGGATGGGCGTGTTCTCCTGTTTACAAAAGGAAAAGAAAAGAAAAGAGGAAAATGGCAGCATTTTGGATTTTTGAAGGAATAGTGTATTTTTTTTAGAGGCAATGAGTGAGGGCGCCCTCATAGCACAGAAAAGCGATGAAAGGACTGAACAAACATTGCAAGCACAATGAGCGGTAAGTTTTCAGACTCTTTTGCTCGTTTTTTTCAAAATTGTCGCTTTTTGGGAACAATTTAACTTAGGGTCTTATACCTGGAATGTCGATCATCTATGATCTAGCATCCAGGGTAACTGTCTCTCGACATTTTCTCTTTACCGGTTTCTTTTTGGGTCTTTGTCCTTGCATAGGTATGTACAAAATGCTACCGTGTACATGGTGTACCAGTCACCAAAGTATACTAAATAGTAAATAGTACAGAGGGCCGGGTACTATCTATGGGTACCGAAGTTCCAGCGCTCCACTCAGTAGAGCCATGGAGCTATAGAGCTATCGGGTCGCGTGTTGTCGCCGCGCTGTCATCATCATTTTTACCCCCAAATTTCCCTCAAAAAATCAAACCCCTGCCCTCTATCTATGACAATGACATTTCCTATTCATTGAGAATGTCGTCACCAACTAGGCGATATCGCCAGACCATGTCCGAATGTTAAAAAGGCAATAAGTTTGGTCCAAGTTACTCGGACTAGCCTAGGTAGGTCCAATAATTTTAAAGTGGATTTTGTTCCCTTATACTAGAACAGGGCCCTAGCTACACTTCACGATCGCCAGAACCGGGCCCTAAACTTCACGATCGCCTAATATTACACCCACAACAATGTTATTTTCAATGAATGACGGCTGTCATGCCTGTGGTTTTGCGTGGAGCGTTCCTTCACTCTCACTCTCAGTCCAGACTCATGCTACCTCCATGCTCAGTCAACAATCAACTAGTCACGTCCTGCGAAATTACATCTTACCATCACCAGTTCACCCTTCTTTTTCAGAACAGCAGAGAGATTTTCCATTTCAGCCATTTTTATGAAGAAAACCTGATGGAAACGAATGAGAAATCAATCTCACTGGTTATGGATCCCCTCACATAACACTAACACTACAGTCTAGTTCACGTACATGTACGTCCAGGGTGACCGTAAGGTCATGGCCAAATTCTGCTAAATGCACATCAAAAATCTGTCAGATTTATCAAAAATCTGCCAAATTACCCAAAATCACATGCAGATGTTGTAGTATTGCCTTAATTAAGGCTCAAATTACAAATATAAACAATCTATAGTCACATAAAGATGTTATGAAATTGCGTAAATTTCAGGCAATTAAATTGCGGTTGCGTCACTGGCGCTGAAGTCCGGTTCCCAGTGAACCTCATCAGCCATTTGGGGCAACATATGGGATCCAAAAAATTGGACCGGTATGTGTGTAGGTACATATACTCTACATAAAAAAAAAACACTAGAATAAAGCGCCCTCATCAGACAAAAAATACAAAAAATGCTGCACAAAATTCCCATGTATACGTAGTCGTTGCATAGGGTGATGATAGCTTTTAATTACAGAAAAAAGACTTTCAACAGAATTATGTCGTGCGCCAAACAGTTAAAAAAGTCTACAGGCATCTTCCCTGTACAGAAAAAGTCTACACGCATCTACCCTGCACAGAAAAAGTCTACACGCATATACTCTGTACAAAAAAAGGTCTATACGCATCTACCCTGTATAAACAAAGTAAAGATGCATCTGACCTGCACAAGAAAGTCTACACGCATCTACCCTGCACAAAAAAAGTCTACACGCATCTACACTGTAAAAAAAAGAAGGGTCTACACGCATCTACACTGTACAAAAAAAAGTCTACACGCATCTACCCTTCCCCCCAAAAAGTCTACACGCATCTACACTGTAAAATAAAAAAGGGTCTACACGCATCTACCCTGCACAAAAAAAAGTCTACACGCATCTACCCTGCACAAAAAAAAAAATCTACACGCATCTACACTGTACAAAAAGGGTCTACACGCATCTACACTGTACAAAAAAAAGTCTACACGAATCTACCCTGCACAAAAAAAGTCTACACGCATCTACCCTGCACAAAAAAAATGTCTACACGCATCTACACTGTAGAAAAAAAAGGCTACGCGCATCTTCACTGTAGAAAAAAAGTCTACGCACATCTACCCTGCACTGAGTATGACAGCTGAGAAATAGAGAGAGACGATGGTTTTGCAAAAGAATTCATGCCACGTGGGTAAGGGCAGGCACCAAAAAAGTGATCACTTTGTCCAAGCAAGGTATTCTGGGTTTTTTTTTGGGGGGGGGGGGGTCCGGGTCGGGTCGGTTCGGATCGGTTTTACCTTCCTTTTTGTCGGGTCGGGTCGGGTCGGTTTGAGGGAGTTAAGATCGGTTTCGGTTCGGATTCGGTTTATATCTCTAATGTTTCGTACAGTGTAGATGTGTGTAGACTTTTTCTGTACAGTGTATAGATGTCTGTAGACTTTTTCTGTACAGGGTAGATGCCTGTAGACTTTTTCTGTACAGGGTAGATGCCTGTAGACTTTTTCTGTACAGTGTAGATGCGTGTAGACTTTTTTGTACAGTGTAGATGCGTGTAGACTTTTTCTGTACAGTGTAGATGTCTGTAGACTTTTTCTGTACAGTGTAGATGCCTGTAGACTTTTTTTGTACAGTGTAGATGTGTGTAGACTTTTTCTGTACAGTGTAGATGTGTGTAGACTTTTTTTGTACAGTGTAGATGTGTGTAGACTTTTTCTGTACAGGGTAGATGTGTGTAGACTATTTATGTACAGGGTAGATGCGTGTAGACTTTTTTTGTACAGTGTAGATGTGTGTAGACTTTTTCTGTACAGTGTAGATGTGTGTAGACTTTTTCTGTACAGTGTAGATGTCTGTAGACCTTTTCTGTACAGTGTAGATGTCTGTAGACTTTCTCTGTATAGGGTAGATGTGTGTAGACTTTTTCTGTACAGGGTAGATGTCTGTAGACTTTTTCTGTACAGTGTAGATGTGTGTAGACTTTTTCTGTACAGGGTAGATGTCTGTAGACTTTTTCTGTACAGTGTAGATACGTGTAGACTTTTTTTGTACAGTGTAGATGTGTGTAGACTTTTTCTGTACAGTGTAGATGTCTGTAGATTTTTTTCTGTACAGTGTAGATGTCTGTAGACTTTTTCTGTACAGGGTAGATGTGTGTAGACTTTTTCTGTACAGGGTATAGATGTGTGTAGACTTTTTCTGTACAGGGTAGATGTGTGTAGACTTTTTCTGTACAGGGTAGATGTGTGTAGACTTTTTCTGTACAGGGTAGATGTGTGTAGACTTTTTCTGTACAGGGTGTAGATGTGTGTAGACTTTTTCTGTACAGTGTAGATGCCTGTAGACTTTTTCTGTACAGGGTAGATGTGTGTAGACTTTTTCTGTACAGGGTAGATGTGTGTAGACTTTTTCTGTACAGGGTAGATGTGTGTAGACTTTTTCTGTACAGTGTAGATGTGTGTAGACTTTTTCTGTACAGGGTAGATGTGTGTAGACTTTTTCTGTACAGGGTATAGATGTGTGTAGACTTTTTCTGTACAGGGTAGATGTGTGTAGACTTTTTCTGTACAGGGTAGATGCGTGTAGACTTTTTCTGTACAGGGTAGATGCCTGTAGGCTTTTTCTGTACAGGGTAGACTTTTTCTGTACAGGGTAGATGTGTGTAGACTTTTTGAATGGCGCACGACATAATATGTAGATGTACCGGTACATGTATAGTCTTTTTTCTGGAATTATAGGCAACGGGTACTACATAGACATGGGTATTTTGTGCAGCATAGTTTTTTTGTCTGATGAGAGCGCTTTATTCTAGTTTTTATGTAGAGTGAATGTAGCTACACACGTACCAGTCCACTTTTTTTTGGTCCCATATGTTGCATGGTATATCATCAGCACTTACCAGCCAACCTGTCCCATTATGCAGGGGTTTTCTATAATTTCCTTTTTATCATTATGTGGCTGTAGATTGTTTATAATGTAATTTGAATATTCAATATTACAACATCTGCATGTGGTTTAAGTGTTTATAGTGTATTTCGAGTAATTCTGGGGAATTTGGCAGATTTTTGATCCATCTGACAGATTTTTGAAGTGCATTTAGCAGAATTTAGTCATGACCTTACGGTCATCCTAGCCCGCCCGTCTACGTCACGTCCAAAAACAGTGAGTGAGGTTGACTTCTCATTCGTTTCCATCAGGTTTTCTGCGTAAAAATGGCTGAAGTGGAAAATCTCTCTGCTGTTCTGAAAAAGAAGGGTGAACTGGTGTTGGTAAGATGTAATTTCGCAAGACTTTGGTTGATTGTTGACTGAGCATGGAGTTGAAATGCCTCCATCATCTGATCATGTCCATGGACCTGTGCTGTGGACTGCAGGCCAGGAAACACCCACAAAACCACGGCACAGCTATCGCGTCACATTGTTGTGGGTGTTTAGCTCCATGGTCATGATCATGATCATCATGTGATGGTTTGTTTTCACCATAGCTGCACTGTGTGTGATGGAGCTAATTATAGCTCCATGGTTTAAACATTAGGCTACATAAATTTGGGCGGTCTTGTACTTCTTCTAGTTTATATGGACTTTCGATCAAGGAAAGAAGGTTGCAACCTGAGGAAAGAATGTTCCAACCTGACACTGCTTTTTTCTTCATACAGATTCATAGGGCTTAGTTATATCGATAAGTATAAGGTCAGTCATTGCAAAAATGACGATAAGACATGAATCTGGAACAGAAACATTTCCAAGTTTGTTAGGTAAAAAAGTTTTACAGGCCCTATGCTTACAAAATTTTTTTTACTCTCTAGCTCTGTAGACTTGGTACACAACCGCTGAAGCTTGAAGTAGCATCAGTTTGCAACATTCTTTCCCAACCTGACGCTATTTCAGCGGTTGTGTACAAAGTCTATGGAGACTAGAGTCAAAAAAGTACAGTCGTTTTCCTAGTTCCAGATTTTTCTTAGTTCCGGATTGCTTCAAATAAAAACCTACCTCTTTTGGAATAGTCTCCAATAGAAATTTTCTGATGGAGTGCATTTTGAAAAGGAAAATGGAAGCTTCTTGATACACAAAGATCTTTTCGATAAAATCTTTAGGCCAGATTTCCGACTCGCACTTTGACATATTTGGACGGTTTGTAGAAAATCATGGGAGCTGCGAATCGACGATAAATTTTCTGCTCGGTATATTACTCGTACCGTGCGATTTCGAAAATTTTGTTCATGCACTACAGTGGTACAAACTCTTCCATCGAATGTTTATTGAATCAAAATAAGTTGTAGAGTCTCTAATATTTCAAAATTCACGAATGACCATATGTTTTTGCCTAGTTCCAGATTGCGCGTGCTCTTACTAATAAATTTTTATTCTGTGCTGGGTCATAGGTTTCCAGTGAGTTTGTGCCGTTGCGCTGTAGACAAAAGTTTCAAAATCATTTACGTTAATTCTTTTTTTGAAATTTGCTGAAATTCTCTTGAAGTTGAATCAACGATTTTTGGAAAATTAAGTAACATTTCATCAGAAAATGTGCTTGATTCGGGGTGGTTTGGGCTGAAAAATAGATTTTCTCTCGTGATGTTTTTTTTTCGCGCGAAGCAATTATTGATGGATTCGGAACTGATTAAACCGATCCGGAAATAGGAAAAGTGGCGTTGGTACATTTGACGTCGTAAAGTCAAAATAAAAGGAGCTTGAATTTGGAAAATTATTTTGTAGCATCTCCATCACTCAAAGTAAACTTTTTAATCAATGTCACTTGAATTCGTTTAGTAGTTGAGCTGGAAGCAATCTGAACGATGTTTGCTATCCGGAACTAGGAAAACAACTGTATCTCCTAACTAAGTTGGAAAAGTTTCTCAGTTCCAGATTTATGTCTTATGACATTTTTTGCAAAGATTCCATATCTAGCCATCACCAATTTTTTCCCATCAGCCATCAGAAAGTGATAATATGTCCCCAAAAGTCAAATTTAGCAGGGGAAAAATTGAAGTATTAACCAAGTTAACTGAGAAAACACTTTGACAATGTCAGACCAGTCTCATACGGTTTTGTGCATAGAGGGACAATAATTACTGGTCAGATATGAGAATCTTTCCACTGACCTTCATTGAGATGATATATGAAGGAAAAAACAGCATCGGGTTGCAGCATTCTCTCCCCGATAAAGTATACCCTATGCGTATGATGTCATCAGTCCTACAGAGACATGCACAACATGACCTCGCTGAGGTCAAATCTCAGACTAGACCCAATTGACTTGTGTTGAGTCTTAGACTTGCACGAGTAAATCAAATTCCAATCATTTTCATCATGGTGATGGTATATAACAAAGATTCACGTACAATGAATTCAAGATGGCAGCCTCCTGCACGAGAAGGACGAGGATCAGTTTCCCAATTTGAAGGGAAAATTTCTCTTTTCTTCCCATTTAATACAGGTATATGACCCTAACCACAACCATTTGTATTTTCATTTCCCACTGAAGCCTACAGGGGCACATGAGGCAGTTCGAGGACTGTTTTGGGGGTGAAATCTGAAGATTTTGATTGGGAGTATGATGAAAATGATTGGAATTTGATTAATGGTACTCGCGATAGAGATATGATCCTAGGATATTCTACTATCACCCGACCATGTCCAAATGATAAAAAAGGGGATTCGAAGAGTCCTAGTTACTCGGACTAGACTCGAGTGATTTTGACTACAGCACTACCTCTTACAATACAATATTCCTTCAAAAATCAACAATGCTAACATTTTCCTCTTTTCTTTTTCTTTTTGTAAACAGGAGAACACACCCATCCCTTTGCCAGGAAAAAATGGTTGGTGCCTTCCCAGTATATTAAAACTCGAGGGATCTAATTTTTTTGTGTTTCATTTTTTTTTGCATTTTAGCCTTAATTACCTTGCTGAAATACATGTTATTCAACAGTGCATTATCTGTGAGATTTTAATAAGAATTGAACAAAAACTTCAATGCGAATTGCCGCGCCTGCTGTTCACTGCCGGCTTACTCTGTTCAATATAAAACCACAATCTATCTGAGTGCTGCCTTATCAATTAAGTAAGTTCTTGTTCAGTGTACTGTGCAGTAACTGTCATTTCGCAAGACCCAAAGTCAACTATGTGAGATCTTGTTCAAAAAGTTCTTTAAAAATATGGTAAGAAATTTAAGCATTTTAGCCGACACACTTTTAGGACTCGGTCTGCAGAACACACAATCACACCATGTGTTGTTTGCATTCCACTTGGTCCCTCGTTTACAACTTCAGAGGTTCAGCTCAAGATGGCCGCTGTGGGAATCTGTGGCTCTGACGTCCACTACCTCGTCAATGGCCGTATCGGCGACTTCATTGTCAAGTCCCCCATGATTCTCGGCCACGAGTCTGCAGGGATCGTCTCTGCTCTTGGTGAAGGGGTCACCAACTTGAAAGTCGGTAAGAAAGTGTTTTTGCTGGTCCCAGAGGGCCAGCCTAGTGCAGTCTCTGCCAGTGGCGCACCCAGGATTCAGTTTTTGGGGGCTCACATTTTTTTGGGTCAAATTTGTTAAAAGTTAAATAATTTTCCAAACATGTTGCCCAAAATTTTTGGCCGCAGAAAAAAAAAATTGGGGTTTTTTTTGGGGGGGGGGGGGGATTGGACTATTTTGCCATTGGTTGCGCTTATACCCCTGTTATACTACTCGAAAATAGGCCACAAACATATCACCAGGGTCAAATCATGGAACTAAAAAAAAAAATTACAAAAAATGTACAATCTCAGGGAGGGGGAGGGGGGCTCAAGCCCCCGAGGGTCCCCCCCCCCCCCCCATCATTGTACCATCAAAAACTGCCCTGGCACTGTATAGATTTGTTGGGGAATAAATTCAATGTACATTTTATACCATGTAATACAAGTACCAATCAGTTAATGTGGATGTATTGCAGGTGATCGTGTGGCCATCGAGCCCGGAGTCCCTTGCAGGATGTGTTCGTTCTGTAAGGAGGGGCGCTACAATCTCTGCCCTGACGTTTTCTTCTGCGCCACTCCACCGGATGACGGTTCCCTACGTCGCTATTACTGCCACGCTGCTGATTTCTGCTTCAAGTATGCACTATCTTTGACAAATTTTACTGAAAGGGTAGAGGAATACCTTCACATTTGATGGAGTGTTCAGTGACAAACGGACTTCTCAAAAGAGTTGCAGATGGGTTTGCAGCATTCCTGCTGTGTATGGACACATAATGGCTTTAGGTAGTGACACGGTAATACACACACAGACAAGGAAAGATAAAGGGTGCATGGATCCCTGCACATAGAATCCACTTTGTGTCCAGAAATTTGGACAAAGTTTGTTCCAACTCACCATTTCACGCCCCTCCCCCCCCCCCAAAAGCAGACTGCCCAGATATTGGCCATCTGCATATTGTAGTTCAAAGATGAGCCATTGTCAACATTTTCGCAGAAAAGAAATTGCAGAAAGGATACATGTACATTGCCTATCCTTTCCGAAAAAATGGTTGAAAACAGCCACAAACCCTCCTGCATAGTTGCTATTTTTGTGCTCATTTTTTTTCTTTTTTCCTTGTAGGCTCCCTGACCATGTCTCCTTGGAAGAGGGCGCCCTCTTGGAACCACTGTCAGTCGGTGTCCATGCCTGCCGCAGAGCCGGCGTCCGCCTCGGAAGTCGTGTTCTGGTCCTGGGTGCAGGTTTGTGTTCCAAACACAATGCGTTCCAAAACAAAGTCTTTGTCTCGGTTCAACTTGATTTTCTTAAGGTGTCTATGCTTAAAGCCATCGAGAATCGTTCAGCACTTACCTCATTCAAGCAAAGTCCCCAAAGTATTGCATGATTTTGATCTCGTTCGGTTTATAAGGATGTCTAGGGCCAATCAAGTTTTGGGTAATCGATATCTTGGACGCTATGCATTGTTACGGAACTGAATCACGTTGCTATTGAAAGTCGCCAACTTTGTCATGCCAGAGTTGTAATGACTCGAGTTAATGACTTGACTCGAGTCTGACTCGAGTCAACATTTTTGGTGACTCGACTTGACTCGAGTCCCTATGGGTAAATGACTCGACTCGACTCGAGTCACTGCAAGCAAATGACTCAACTCAACTCGAGTCCCTCATCAAAAGACTCGACTTGACTCGAGCGAATGCTAATAAGACTCAAGTCCCAAAAATAAAAGCAAAATTTTGCGAAAAGTATTTGCAATGACTTACGGTGAGAATTTTATGTTCATTTACAAACATACAACGTGTCACAGACTCCCACCTTATGGTTCTGGAACGCACAAAATACTATTCAGGAACCGGATTTTAAACACATTTTCCAATTCGTTGTTTCATCATTGGCTTTGAGCGATTTCTTATAAAGCCTCTTGGATTCGAACGCCGGCTAAATTTATGCCCTCCTTTTATACATTTTGGTAAATAGTGTTAAAATATTCGTGACTCGAATTGACTCGAGCTAAATATTTGACTCGACTCGACCTTCTTGACCTAATGACTCGACTCGACTCGAGTCACTTCTTTAAAATGACTCGACTCGACTCGAGTCACAAAAATCAGTGACTCGTTACAACTCTGTGTCATGCTACCCAAGTGTCAATATTAGAGTCTCAAATTGAGAAGCTACCTTAAAAATCTTCCATGGTTCTAGTTTATTTTGATTACGATGTCTACATCTGCAGGACCCATCGGATTGCTGGCTTTGCTGACTGCTAAGGCCATGGGAGCAACTCACATTGCCATCACTGGTAAGATTAATTTGCCTTTAAATTAAAAAAAAACCACTTTGATGAGTTTAGTCAAATCCAACCCATGGCGGCTACAGCTGATCATAGTCCTGCAATGTATCTTGGTGGATCGTAACCTATGATGAGTTTCGTGAAATCAATTCCTGGTCAACAAAAATGTTACCAAGCTGCCAAGTTTTTAATTTTAAACACGTCTCCAGTATCAGTTTATTATCAAAAAGATTTAACAGATCGATATAAGGTATTAACCCTTCTAGTGGGAGTTGGTTATTCAGACAAATGTGGAAAACCCTTTAAAGTCCCTGCAGGTCATTTCAGGTGAAGGGATATGAAGTGTTTAAGTAACTGTGTCACACAGTGAGTCACTGCACACACAAAACAGCACTATGGAGAGCAGTGAAGCTGCTTGCCCTGAGCTTAACCACGCAAAAGGATTGTGCAGGGACTTGAGTTGTTATCCATACTCCACAGAAGATTACCTGGAAGGAATTTGACACATGGGTGCCTAGCTCTATGGGCAAAAGTGGTTTTGCAAAAGTCGAAGGGTTGTAAAGTGCAGAAGACTAGGAAGGTTAATGATGAGTGAATCTGCTTTCTACCTCCATCGATTAAAGACCTGGACCAGGGTCGTCTGGACGTGGCCAAGAAGCTAGGAGCCCATCATGCATTGCGGGTGGACACTCGGGATGCTGAGGAGATGGCGCGTAGAGTGGAGGCGGCATTGGGATGCAAGCCGGAGATCAGCATCGAGTGCAGCGGAGCAGAACCCAGCATTCAGACAGGAATCTATGTAAGTCTAGCAAGTCTGTCTATTGCTACGGCTATTTACTGTAGCTGCCACTGGCAAAAATGAAAACCATAGCCACGGAATAACAAATTCAGAGACGGCCTCATCTTTCCTGTCTTCAACCCTCTTTGTTGTTTGTATATATATGTAGATGAGGTAAGATATTGCTGTAAAGCCTCTTGCTCAGGGACACGACCTGTGTGTAATTTCATCATTAAAGTCTGGTCTGCCTAGTGTACTACAATCACAGAGCTGACAAAAACACAGTAGCCCCAACTCCTTTGCCATTTCATGGGCGGAATCTATCCAATTCTCACACACTGTTTTTATTAAACTTCAAGCCTGCTGTAAAATGAAAGTGGTAGGGATCTCCTTCCCTCAATCTTGTAAAACCTTTCAAAACCCTCCGATGGGTTTTTGACGGATCTGGGCATGGTCAGTGTTTTATTTTTGATTGATATTTTCTCGGTAGGCAACCAAGTCTGGCGGTGTCCTGGTTCTGGTTGGTTTGGGCCCACCGACGGTCAATGTGCCCATGGTCAGTGCAGCTCTGAGGGAGGTGGACATCCGTGGCATCTTCCGATATGCCAACTGGTGAGTGACAAACTGATAGATAATTACAGTGACTTTTGAGGTTGGTTGAGGGTAGGGGGTTCAGGGTTGACAGCCCTGTGAGATGTGTGGTATGCTGAACAACCACAGCAATGCCTTCAAATCTGAAATTTTGAAAGAAGTGATTTAACAATACAAGACTTCTGGCAAACACAAATGTTAGCATAGTATTAGTACACCACAAAAAAGTTAGTGTGACTTTTCTGTTTATAACGTTAGCCCATTGCAAAAGCATTAGTCCCTCTACTGCCCCAAACCCAGGTGTTGTGTGCTAATAGGTTACATTGGCCCCTGGTAACGCAATCTGGCAATTTGCACTGAGGTAAACTTTTCTCTTCTTCACTCTTCAGCTACCCTCTTGCCCTGGAGATGATTGCGTCGGGCAAGGTGGATGCCAAGCCACTGATAACTCATCACTTCCCCCTGGAGAAGACACTGGAGGCATTTGAGACGTCCAGGACCGGAGCAGGAGGAGCCATCAAGGTCATGATCCACTGCGATCAGTAAGAGAGAGAGACAGAGAGAGACAGGAATTACTATGGCAACTGAATCCATAGCAACCATTCCAAAATGCTATTCAGATATGGATGATGTAAAATAATCATTTAATACAGTTCATGGTAACGAGTTTTAAAAAAAACGAGTTAAAAAAAAAAAATTCAAATAGGTCATGAATCATGAGAGAGGAATCACTATGGCAACAGAACCTATAGCAACCATTCCAAAACGTTATTCAGATGTGAATGATGTAAAATAGAAACAAAGTTCATGGTAAAAATCTTTTGAAACAAAAACTGTATTTGGTTGTGAATTATGAGGTACAGTGAGCAATATGATATCTGTTTGTCATTGCATTGTAATCCTCTGCAGCTATTGTACCTAGGAAATCATATGACCATGATTCGAAGCTGCCTAACAAGAATAATTATATTGTTTATTTTTCATTTTTTGCATATTGTTATCCACTTGTTTAAGTCCCGCCATGGTTTAAATGTATGTCACGAGTAGTTGAGCATGGAATATAAATTGCTATAATTTGTGCGATGAAAGAAGACTTGCATGTAATGCTACTCAGTTTTCTATTTCTAATTGTGATTTTACTTCAGGTGGGCGACAATTAAGACATTTAGAATAATGCTTTTGTGTTTTCATGTTTATAAGTTAGACTCTGTCACAATTGCCAAGTGTATTTTGGGAATGTAATTCCATTGATTCCTTTTTGTTTGTTTGAATTGCCACATAAATCTGCATAAAGATAAACTCTAAAGGTGTATAATATTATTGCAATTTTTTATACCTGAATTAGTAGATGAATAAAGTATATTTGCTAAACAAATTTTGGTAGCACACAAATTTATATGAAGATAAATGTTGGCTTCTCCATAGACAATCATGTTTGTCTATTTTTTTTTCGGTCGGGGTATGTAATGCATTTGTTGTGGTCCCTGCTTGATCAATAGAGAGGTTATGTACTTGTGTAGAGCAAAACAATTTGGTATGTAACTATTAAAAGAATATAATATCCAGATGCCACATACAAAGTCTATGGAGAGTCAAGAATTTTTTTTTTTTAAAGAATTTCGTATCAAAATTGGCAATGTTTCTCGGTCCCAGATTCATGTCTTTTCAACATTTTTGCAATAACTGACCTTCATTGAGATGATAAAACATGCAGTAAACTCAAGCTTAATTTCAGATGAACTACACAATTCACATATGTTGGCATACTCGTTTTATTGTACTACTTTCTCCTTATTAAATTGTGTAACATGTATTTTGCTCAGATTGTGAAGCTTATGAAATGATGTCTTAATAAATTTGGGAAGAATTCAGTTTCCTATTACCACCGTAATAAGCAATGATTTCTAGTTCATTATTTTGTAATTAGTATTTGCAATTCAGGGGAAGTGTGGCCTAGCGGTAAGGGTTTGTGACTCATGATCAGAGGGTCGGGTTTGAATCCAGCTGCTGGCTATCCGTCGTGTCCTTGGGCAAGCCACTTTATCCCCACTTGCCTCCCTCCACCCAAGAGTATAAAAATGGGTACCGACATTAGTTGGGAGTACCCTGCGATGGCCTCCAATCCAGGGGGAATAGAAATATTCTCAGTTGTTTCATGCCACTGAAACCGAAGATAAACGCTGGCCTGATGGGCCAATATGGCTCGGGACAGACTTTACTTTTTACTTAATATTTGCAATGGGCACATATGCAGAAAATTCTTAATTTTATGAGGATAAATAGTGCCAAACAAACCAACTCGGCAGCTGAAAATTAAAAAGAAATGCCTAATTAATGCAACACTACCACATCTGCATGCGATTTTAAGTGTTCACAGTGTATTTCGAGTAATTCTGGGGAATTTGGCAGATTTTTTATAAATCTAACAGATTTTTGAAGGGCATAGCAGAATTTAGCCATGACATTACGGTCACCCTGCCTAGTGGGCGGGCCTAGTGTGCATGCAAAACGTATAGTCGCCACCAACGTTGGAACTCGTCTCATTCACTACACGAATCACCGGGGGCAGCGGTCATGTCAAAAGTTCAACATTAACACACGCGGACAAACAACTTATCATTTTTACAAGAACGTCTTTAGTATAAGAAGAGATTATTGACAATGTTGGAAATGGAAAACCTAAGTGCGGTGATGAAAAAGAAAGGAGAGCTTGTTCTGGTAAATATGTGCGTTTGGTGATAATCTACCTAGGCCTATGCTTTGACTTGAGTGTAACTCGACTAGCCTAACTCTGTTTTTTAAATCACAAATTTATTACAATTTTTTTCACAAGCATTTATCATTTTTTGAGTTTTGTGGATGATGGGTATTATAGGAACCTGTAAACTCCTTTGTGATGGGTGTGAGGGTGCATGGGGAGATTTAGACACATGTTTAGACATATCAATATTTTGAAAGTTAAAAATCTTTTTAAAAATCTGATTTAAACAAAACAAATCTGGTTTAAATCAAATAAATCCGATTTTTTTTTTGGGCAGCATTTATTAGGCTCAATTATGAGAAGTCTTCTTTACCAGTTCAGATACAGTTTATACCAGATACATTTATCTCATGTCATCATCATTGAAAAAAATGTAATAACAATTCTCATCATATACACTGCAACTTGTTCAAATGAAATTTTCTATAGGAATATGGGCTATAATTATAAAGAAGTGACATTAACGTGTAGGAAAAAGGACAAGCAATTGCTTTTTGTACCCCTACCTTTAGCTTAGTTGCAGAAGTCTTTTTCGAATGATACAAAAAAACCTTTTGAATCTAACTTGACTAAATCTGCAGAAGGGCCTGTAACTACACAATATCCCAAAAGTTAACTTCATTTTTTACAAGCTTTTCTATTCTTAAGATCTAATTCAAGTTTATCAGAAAATCCATTTTCTTCAATCTGGGGGCATTGTAAAATCATGAAATTGACCAATCGCATCACAATAACAATTTGTCACATAACTGTGTGATCTGTTTGGTCTAGTTAAGATTTAAAGACAGGAAATTAGAATGTGTCAAATTTTCACTTCCAGCTTTTTCTTCCATTTTGTCAAACAGGAGAATACACCGATCCCCTTGCCAGGCACGGAAGGTAGGTCATTCATATACTTCCTTTACAAATACCAAGGGCAGAAACTGGAGCTGGAGGGGTGGCTAACCATTCCCCTACTGGTACTTCCCGAGTACCGGTACTCGTACTTCCGAGTACGAGTACTTCTTTTTCCGAATATGGCCATACGCCAAAAGGTTCATTGTGCGTAATTGGCCCAGGCCCAGTCAGACCGATATACATAATACAGACCCACTCACGGCTAGTTGTTTAAATGTGTTTGTCCGGACGTGCACAGAGGAAAATCAGAAAACTTTGATTTCTCCGCAAGCCAATCAACCATTTCAAACTGAAAGTATCGATAAATTTAATCCGTGGTAAATCAAACCATAGCCTACCATTTTTTTCCCCCGGTTACTCCTATTTGAGTACGAGTACTTTGATGATCGAATACAGTTTGGACATGTCGAGTACGAGTACTTTGCTTTCCGAGTACGAGTACCGTCATTTCAAGTACGAGTACTTTGACATTCAAGTACTAGTACAAGTCCTCTAAAAAAAAAGTACTCGAGTAGTACTCAAGTTCGAGTGCCACAACACTGATATTCTACTTTTAAATTCCCTTTCTAACAATTATCATTTCGTGAAAAATGTATTTTGTGGGCCAATTGGTCAAGAACAATTTTGTTCAAGGATATCAATAAATGAGAGACAATACGCACTTTGAATCATTTTTATTTTGCCATCTATGCAGGTGCAACTGCAATTTTTTTTTTTTTTACTTTAGATTTTTATTTTTGGCGGAGCGACCGACCGTTCTTCATTGGCAACAAAATCTGAGAGCCGTCCATAGAAATATAAAAGGGACGCACTCTTATTTTTATCCCTAGAGGTTCAAATCAGAGTATCGGCGGTTGGTATCTGTGGCTCGGATAACCACTACCTTGAGCACGGAGGAATCGGTCCTTTCAGGGTCACGTCACCGGTCATTCTCGGCCATGAACCTGCCGGTGTGGTGTGCGCGTTGGGAGAGGGGGTTACGAGCCTTCAAGTAGGTAAATTCCAGATTTTAAGTTTGGTTTACTTCACGCGAACAACACGGGATTGTATCAAGATTTTTTAAGAACTCATTTTCTGGCGAGAACCATCTCAAATCCTTCAAGCTTGTAACAATGGCCTTATGTTGAACTCGCCCAATAGTACAGTAAATATTAGGCAGTTGTCTACTCACCATTTTGTTTTTATTTATTTATATATTTTATTTATTTCTGGTAATGAAACCAAGGATTCCTCAAAAGTACCCTAAGCACTGTAGCTCGAAAGCCTGAAGAAACCTGTAGAGAGAAGACAATGAGAAGAAATTACAGTTTTAGAGGTGGGAGGAAACGCCCAGAGGAATATTCTGAGGAGAACCCACAGAATCAGGCAGGGACTGAAAACCCAATCCACATATTGGCCCATGCGGGATTCGAACCCGGGTCACAGCGGTGGAAGGCGAGGAAAGTACCGCTACGCCAACCTGACTCCCCAAAGATTAATTAAACAAAGATTAATTAAACAAATAGAAAAGACCGAAAAGAAAACAAAAAGGAAGGCACAAAAGTGCCACCCTACTGACACTGCTTTCAAGTGAGGTCCACACTTCAAAAAAATCGGAGTACATGTGCCCCCCCCCCCACCCCCCCCCCCCCCCCGTCTTTCACCCTATGCCCATCTAAAACCCTTTTTGTTCTCCGTGAGCATGTAACTTGTTGGAGCAAATCCCCACACTCTGTGTTACATAATACGAAAAACATAAATTTCCATGTTGGATGTTTTCAACTTATTTTCTTGACAGGGGACCGCGTAGCCATTGAGCCCGGCGTACCTTGCAGGATGTGTTCATACTGTAAGGAGGGGCGCTACAATCTCTGTCCCGATATCGTCTTCTGCGCCAACAAACCAACCCGTGGCTTTATGCGCCGGTTCAGCTGTCACAATGCGGACTTCTGTCACAAGTAATGTTAAACCTAGAAATTATTTCATAATTTTTATTCAGAAAATCAGTTAATACGATTCATATTTGCAGGGATGTGATTGGTATGTGACAAATTTGTGAACTCATTGAATGTTTTGTATATAGTAAGATTACATATTGAAAATGTGTTAAACCATCAATGTTAAGGGACAATCCCAGCGTTATGTTTGTGACACAACTTTTAAGAGCTAAGTGAATGAACCTGAAAATGTATTTTTCACATGTTATACGTCCATCATCTAGTAATATATGGTCAAGGAGATTACAGACTAGGAGTTTTGGATCACTTCTCTGCATCATTCTATAGGGAACACTTGGGTTTAATGAAAAGATCTCATGACAGTGTGCTTCAAAGGACTGGGACCAAGAAAAGTTTGCTTGGACTGAAAAACTCCTGGCCTCTCTCCTACTTATGTCAATAAGCAAGAAGTCCAGATGAGTGCTGGAAGAAAGTTGTTCATATGCAGGAACTTATTGAAGGCTCCGGAAGATATTAAGACCAGGTTGTGTAAAATCTAAGTGGATCGACAGGAGTAAGACTTTGGTGTGGCAACCAAAATAACAGAAATAACATGCCATCAGGGAAATTAGGAACTGTCAGACATGACAGAGACATCCCAATCACTAAAACCATCAATAAATTGAAGGCATGAAATAATAAGACAAGGTGAAAAATGCCAGTTGTTGTTGTCTTGCAGGCTTCCTGATCATGTTTCTCTAGAAGAGGGTGCTATTTTGGAACCTCTTTCCGTCGCCATCCATGCTTGTCGCCGGGCCGAGATATGTCTTGGAAGTCGTGTTCTTATCATGGGGGCAGGTATTTTCTTCTTTTTTATTCCTCGGGAAGTAAAATCATTAATAATTTGGTTTTCAATTCAGGGTGTTGATGTATTAATTCATTGTCGATAAAATAATATAATAATCTGTATTTAAGTAAATTTAGAACAAAACACTGAGCCAACTCCAACTTATAAAAACACTTTCTTTTTCCGATTTCCACAGGTGCCATCGGTTTGTTGTCCATGTTGACTGCCAAGGCCATGGGAGCAACACGCCTTATTGTCACTGGTAAGAAGTTTTTTATTGGTAAAAAGACAAAAAATGGCATTTAATGTCAGTATACCCATGCAGCTTCCAGCAAAAGTGACAAGGTTAGTAAAAGTAAAGTCTGTCACGAGCCAATGTGGCCCATCAGGCTGGTGTATATCTCTGGTTGGTCAGTAGCATGAAACGACTGAGAATATTTCTACTCCCCCTGGACGGGATGCCAGTCCATCGCAGGTTACTCCCCAGCTAATGCCGGTACCCAATTGTGCTCCTGGGTGCAGAGAGGCAAGTTGGGATAAAGTGGCTTGCCCAAGGACACAACATATGACCAGAAGTTGGATTTGAACCCCTGACCCACTGATCATGAGTCACAAACCCTAACCACTAGGCAATACTCCCCCACTGACAAGGTTAGGGTTACAGTTAATTTTTTTTCTTCAAATTGTTGTTTTAAATGAAGATGTGGTCCAAGATCGGCTGGACTTTGCCAAGAAGCTGGGAGCCCATCATGCATTGCGGGTGGACACTCGGGACGCTGAGGAGATGGCACGTAGAGTGGAGGCGGCATTGGGATGCAAGCCGGAGATCAGCATTGAGTGCAGCGGAGCAGAACCCAGCATTCAGACAGGAACCTATGTAAGTCTATGTGTCCAAAATGGGCATTGTTGTCTTTTGGCTACGGCTAAATGCACCATAGCCACCAGTGGCAAAAAAACCCCAAGAAGCCCTAGATTAACCATTTTGGGCCTCATCTTGCCTGTCGTCAACCCTCTCTGTTGCTTGAATATAAATTAGCAATAGCTCTTATTTTTGTCTTGGTAGGCTACCAGGTCAGGTGGTGTCTTGGTCCTGGTAGGCAATGGATCAACTCCCACCGTCAACTTGCCGCTTGTCAATGCAGCAGTGAGGGAGGTCGACATTCGTTGTTGCTTCAGATATGTAAATTGGTAAGCATCGTATGAAGTAGGCAGTGATGTAATATAGCTTAGGGGTCCTGGGGTTGCCGGTGGTTGGTGGTGGCCCCTTGTCCTTGCTGGAAGCCAGTGCCTCCCCCATATTATAACCCCCCGGCCACTTTCATTAGAGACACACTCTCGGAAAAAATGGTTCGGATAACATTGTTAACTTATTTCTTATGATGGGACTGCAGTTTGGCCGAAGTCAATTGAGCGTGATCGGCTGACTGATAAGGTTTACGTACAAAACCCCAAGACAACGGGGTTTTTGTATAGAAAGCTGCTGGACCACATTTTGCGAGAGTGTGTCGGTAATGGGCCTGCCGGTAATGCTGAGCCTGCATACTGCCAAAGTTACCAGTGGCATCCCTACATGATTTTCTCGTGCAAATAGGACCCATTTTGGACCCTTATTTTATCAAATCTGCTCTTAGATAAAAGCCCAAAAGCTAGGGAGATGATCCTCGGCTATATTCGCACGATTCCACCGATTTTTAAACTAGACGGTCTCGTTTTTTGCAAAAAATTGTGGGGGCACTTTTTATGCAAATTAACGACGCGGACGCGTAGAAATTTTGAAACCCTAATCAAATTTATTGCGCCCGCTGTTGGTCTTATTGCGCCATTCTGATATATCTTCTGTTTAGCCCACCCCCCCCTCCACAGCCACCCCCCCCCCACCACACCGAAAAATAATGGTAATTAAATACTGTTAAAAATGTGCTCGTTTATTCAGAAATTCATGAAGCATATTCAAACTGATTGGATGTTGCCAAAGTGTCTTTCCCATTTGCAAAAGTTCTTTTTAAAAGCCTGGGCCTGCCGGTAATGCTGAGCCTGCATACTGCCAAAGTTACCAGTGGCATCCCTACATGATTTTCTCGTGCAAATAGGACCCATTTTGGACCCTAATTTTATCAAATCTGCTCTTAGATAATAGCCCAAAAGCTAGGGAGATGATCCTCGGCTATATTCGCACGATTCCACCGATTTTTAAACTAGACGGTCTCGTTTTTTGCAAAAAATTGTGGGGGCACTTTTTATGCAAATTAACGACGCGGACGCGTAGAAATTTTGAAACCCTAATCAAATTTATTGCGCCCGCTGTTGGTCTTATTGCGCCATTCTGATATATCTTCTGTTTAGCCCCCCCCCCACAGCCACCCCCCCCCCCCACCACACCGAAAAATAATGGTAATTAAATACTGTTAAAAATGTGCTCGTTTATTCAGAAATTCATGAAGCATATTCAAACTGATTGGATGTTTCCAAAGTGTCTTTCCCATTTGCAAAAGTTCTTTTTAAAAGCCCATCAACCATTAGAGACACACTCTCAGAAAAAATGGTTCGGATAACATTGTTAACTTATTTCTTATGATGGGACTGCGGTTTGGCCGAAGTCAATTGAGCGTGATCGGCTGACTGATAAGGTTTACGTACAAAACCCCAAGACAACGAGGTTTTTGTATAGAAAGCTGCTGGACCACATTTTGCGAGAGTGTGTCGGTAATGTTTTGGTCCTGGGAGTACCATTGGGTGATGGTGGCGCCTAGCCCCACTAGTGTGGCCACGATATTGGTGCGCTGTATCTCTGGCCACAAGCTGGGTTCTCGCCCACTACTGAGGAGTTTTTCAAAAAATTACGCAAAGTTTCTTACATATGGTTGTATTCTATGATGTCTCAGTTGTTCACTTCTGGGATGCTTAGGTGTAATAATATCCACACTCAAATCGTAAAATAAACTGGCACCATCCTATTCAAAAGTTTAAATTTATAAAATAGATTCAGGGAACACGATCGAAAATGACTTCCTTGAAATTTAGGTCCCATGTTCTCTGCACAGCTACCCTCTTGCCCTGGAGATGGTTGCATTGGGCAAGGTGGATGCCAAGCCACTGATAACTCATCACTTCCCCCTGGAGAAGACACTGGATGCATTTGAGACGTCCAGGACCGGGGCAGGAGGAGCCATCAAGGTCATGATCCACTGCGATCAGTAAGACAGATGGAGGAATCACTTTTGTAGCTACCCTCTTGCCCTGGAGATGATTGCGTCGGGCAAGGTGGATGCCAAGCCACTGATAACTCATCACTTCCCCCTGGAGAAGACACTGGAGGCATTTGAGACGTCTAGGACCGGAGCAAGGTCATGATCCACTGCGATGATCAGGGCCGAACTTCATGTAGCTACTGAGCAGGCAGTATTGCTCAGAAAAAGCAATAAGTTCTGCTGAATGATACTTGAAGTTGCCTCAATAACTGGGTCTCAAGTTTTTAATATTCAATCAAAGGATAAAAAGTCTTGCAAAATCTTTTCTTTAAAGATGCATTCCTGTGCATTTTTTTATATGAACTTTTAATGTTTTAAAACTTTATACCTATGTTTTCAAATAATACATAATAAGGAAATAATTTATTTTTAATCATGGTTTTAAAACAATATTAGAAGCTTTTAAATAGATTCAATTTAGCAAGTATGATACTAAAATTTGCCGCAATAAGTTCGGTCTCAGGCTTAAATATTCAAGCAAATTGTACAAAATTTTATAGAATGTTTTCTTTAAAGATGTACTCCCCATACTTTTTGCCAATTTCATCCCGAAAAATGGAATCCTTTTCTAAATCGCTATTTTTCTAGCAATACAAAAGTTATTCAGTTTTGATTGAGACATCGACCGTAAAAACTCAGCCTATGTTTAGTTATTGAATTGTCACTTTACAAATCGGAATTGCTGGCTGCAAGACAATAATTCCATTCTTGCTGGGTAGGCTGGTTCCCACTCCACAATCAGTATCGATAATGTACGGATATGTTTGGGCCCAAAACAAAAACCTTATTTTTTCAGAGGGTTGCAGGCGTCCAAAGGAAAAAAAAAAAAGGTTTTGGGTTTGGAATAGAACATACAATTGTAAATTTACTAACAGAAAATAATCGAAGTTGTTTAACAACATGGAGAACGCAATTCTAAAATCTATTCTTTTAAAATTGTTTTGCTTTAAGTGACATTTGAATATGTTGAGTCATTTATTTTTCTTATTGTTCGTACAAACCCTAAACCCAATGGCAGGTTCAGGGAATTTTGCAGTATTAGAGGGAGACACACTTTTGTCCTCTCAACAAATGTGATGTGATTTGAATTGCCTTTTTCATTTTTGTTTTTTTCAAATGATACTGAGCTATAATTTCTGTGGTAGAGTTTCCTTGTCTTGCTTACTCAAAACTATTAGTCACTATATTTCAAGTAGGTTTTATGCGTTAATGTGATTAGAAACTATGAAGATATTCATATAGTAAAATTCAGGAATAACTTTTCTGGAATGTTTCACCCTCTCCATATAAAACAGGTCTTTTGTGTTGTAGAATAACAACATTGTAAAGTAGTTCTCATACAGTATTGTTTCATTTTTACATTTATTTTGTAAATTTAAATGCAGTCGGATCAATAAATTGCAGCCTTTCCATTTTTCTATCGGAAAATGTACTTGCACCACAAATTAACTTTAACTTTTTGAACAAGTACTAGACATGTACATTTTTGATACTTCATGCCTATGTTTTTATATTAATTACTATCAATAATTAGCATGTAATAGTACATTGTTTGGTATTCAAACAAGTACTCATTGAGAAACTAAAATTATACTCTTCAACTCACTCGTATACGATCAGTGATACTGTATGGTTGTGAAACGTGGAAGATCAATAAAAGTGACGATAAGAGGCTGGACACATTTCAATTCAAATGTCTCAGAAGAATCTTGAAAATCAGTAATTGGCCTTATTATGTCGTGTCAAACGAAGAAAATACCCAATAGAACCAAATTAAAGAGAATCAGTGATGATCGAAGTATAGGCTAGAGATGGACGTGGATTGCATGGTCACGTTCTAAGAATGGAAAATATCTGCCTTGATCTAGGACAGACAACAATGACATGGGTTAGGACAGGAGGAAAGTAGGATGCCCAAGAACAACATGGAGACATGCAGGGAAAGAAAGGAAATAGCTTGGATGGAAGTCTTGGAATGAAGCCAAACCTGTGGTCAAAATCAGAGCAAACTGGAGAGAGTGCACTGCAGCCTCATGCATGTTTGGACGGAATCAGAAATTTCAAAACAAAAAAATGCATTCTTTTGAGTGTATGTATTAATTATCTTCCCTCATATACTGCTGACGTCTCTGTTTATTATCTTTCTTTCCTTATTACAACCTCATCAATCAACTTCACTCTTGTACTTGCGACTACTTTAGTCATCTTGCTTCTTCTACTTGTGACTTCTTTGTTCATCTTTCGTCTTTCTTTTTTGTTTATGCTTTCACCATCAGCTTCCCCATTATTGCACTCACAACATCTCAATTCCTCTTAAGACTTCTTAAGTTGTCTCTCCTCTAACACTTACAACATCTTGAGTCTTCCCTTTTCTTTGGTTGGCTTTCTCTTCTTAAGTTTTCAACATTTCTTCCCTTTTCAACCGACAGGTTCTCCAGATGTAGTCCCATCTGTGCTTAAGACTTCTCCAGTCCTATCTCCCCTCTTGTACTTTCGAGTTATTCAGTCTTGTCTCTTGTGTTTCAGTGACAGATCTACAAAAAAAAATTAAGAAAATCGTGCAGCAAAAAGGAACACTTGACTGCCCGACAGCTAAACCCAGCTTGCGTCCTTGCCCTCTTTTCCTTCTCTACTAACAACTTTTGTAGTCTTCACTTTTGTATTTACGACTTCTCCAATCAACTTCTTTTTTAAGACTTCTTTTTGTCGTGATGACTTCAAAATTTGTCTTTTCTCTTCTACCAATGACATCAAGAGTTGTCGTCTCTCTTATACTTATGGCTTCTTCATTCATCTTCCCACTTCTTGTATGACTTCTGTTGTTGTCTTTTTTTCAGTACTTAAGACTTATTTAGTTATAGTCCCTCTTGTATGTGTGACTCTTCAGTTATCATTCTTCTCTTTGCTTAAGACTTTCGAAATGTTTTTTCCCTCTCTACAAAAGACTTCTCCAGTCATCAACCCTTCTGTACTTCTGTTGTCCAGTCGTTTTCCTTCTGGTACCTTTGAATTCCCCACTTGTCTTCCTTTACTTATATCTTCTTAAGTTGCTAGACACATTAATAATAATTGTCACATTTTAATTCTTTAATTTAATTTATTCTGAGGATACAATTTTGTTACACAAGGCTCTCCATCGTTTCAAGTCCTGTACTATATGAAGGCACTGATATATAAAGACTGAGATCAGTGTCTGAAGGTCATCAGCAGCAAATATTGTGTGATTCAGGCCCAAAAAGTCCCAAATCTACATGTACTATGTATGGACTCCTGATTTCATTGGCATACTGATAAAAGGTTGAATGAGTGCCTGTTGGATTGAGATTTTATGTAAAGACCAATTACATAATGTGATATCAGATTAGTGCAGTGGCATGACTGGTGCAAAGCACTAGAGATACTGCATAAAATAGGGCCTAGTGGATCTTTCAAATGTACATTAAAACGGTGGTACATACATGTGGAAGGCACTGGTAACTGGTTCTACGTGTAGGTAACAATGTCTGGGACTGCAAGAAATTTAACAGCTGTGCTGAAGAAAAAAGGAGAACTTGTGTTGGTGAGATTATGGATCTTTTTGAATAATCTGAAGGTTCAGCAGCGTACCCAGCTTTTGATGTCGGGGGCAAAATCTGAAGTGTTAGTCACCGGCTTTTTCAGCATATGATGTCGGGGGATCAAAAGCCTTTAAAAAGTGTAATGTGTTTTTTTACTTGGTTTCTTTATTTATCATCCGTCTCAGACGTACTCTATATGGAAATATTTACCAAAAAAATGAGAATAACATAAAAAAATATGCCATAGGGGAAAGTTACCCTCTCTGCCCCCCACCCGAAAGATGTAGTTCATATAAATATTGATGTTGTGTGGACAAATAATGACAATCAACATCACACATTTTTGCAATGGCCTTGTAAGTATAGTTGTCATGCTCTACCTACGTAAAACGGAGACAATATTGTAAAAGTTAGTGTTATAATTTTTTAGCAACTTTTTAACAGGTTGACAAGAGATGTGATCAATGAATAGGGAAAGTACGGTCTTTTAGAAATACTAAAAAAACATAATATTGTTTTCTTATCAATCAAGGAGGACACACCTATTCCCAAACCAGGCCTTAATGGTAAGTTTTCAATTTCTTAAAAAAAAATGCAGAAACAAATCACAATAGACCAAAGACGTAATGACGTCCGATTTGTGAAGTGCACCTGTGAGAGCGAAAGTGCACCTGTAAACAAAGTGTGACGTCATTATGTTTTAATTATTGCTACTCCGATGCTTGAAAAATCCAATTTAATGTAAACCAAACCCTTGCAGATGAATTTTTGTGGTATTTAAAATGACACTCCATTATTATGTGGCATTTTCACGTTCACTTTCACCAATTGAAAATCCTTGAAAATCTGGGTACAGCATTTCTCAGCCAAGACTTACCATGGGGCTTCACCTCTATGTACCAACACCCCTATGTTCCGACTGCACATATTTCTATTCCTAACCCTAACCCTAAACCTTACCCTTACCCTAACCTTAACCCTAACCGGGGGAGTAACACAATATTATGTGCGGGTTGTCGGAACATAGGGGTGACGGAACATAGAGCAATCACCTTACCATGGTACCTTTAAATCTGAGCTTGCATTGATACTTCCAACAACAAAAATTTCCAGTGCAATATAATTCTCAAATTCCCAACTGATCTTTCTCAGAGGTCCAGCTACGAGTGCAGTCGGTCGGAATATGTGGTTCTGACGTCCACTACGTCGTCGACGGCAAGATCGGGCGTTTTGTGGTGAACTCGCCCATGATTCTTGGCCATGAGTCATCGGGGATCGTGTCGGCACTTGGCGAGGGCGTCACCAGCCTCAAAGTTGGTAAGCAAAAAGTTTATATACCTCATTTGTTGTTTAGGCTGGGTCTGAATTACTTGGCTACGGCTTGGAAATCCCACGCATGTCAATGGGAAGTGGATTCAGCCGCTACCATAGACGCATGTGTAATTGCAAGCCATTGTCGAGTAATTCGCAAGCCATTGTCGAGTAATTCACAAGCCATTGTAGAGTAATTCGCAAGCCATTGTAGAGTAATTTGCAAGCCATTCTCGAGTAATTCGCAAGCCATTGTAGAGTGATTCTCAAGCCATTGTAGAGTAATTCACAAGCCATTGTCGAGTAATTCACAAGCCATTGTCGAGTAATTCGCAAGCCATTGTCGAGTAATTCACAAGCCATTGTCGAGTAATTCGCAAGCCATTGTCGAGTAATTCGCAAGCCATTGTCGAGTAATTCGCAAGCCATTGTCGGGTAATTCGAACTTGACATTCAAAGACAATTTGTTTGATGATTGTACTTTGTAGCCCCTAGGCCTGTTCATCATTTTCTTGTGAAAATGCTAGATTTATGATATGAGGCAGATTGTTTGAACCCTTGAGCAAGTTTGATTAACTAAATGATAGCGTAATTAATTGCCTTAATTAAACCGAGTTAAAACATTGCCCTGGGGAAACAAACCACTATATTTGCCATCTCTATATCAGCTCACTGTAGGGGCCTCACAAAGAATCAAGGATCATCATTGGACAACAGTTACAAATCCAGTTTTGGGGTCTCGAAGTAGTAAACTTAGAATTTTTTCTTTAAAAATGGCAATTTTATTTTCATCATTAAACAATTCGCATTTGTAAATTAAAATTCGATGTTTAAAAAAAAATTTATGATCAGCAATTAATGATGACATATGTTTTCCTAAAATCAAACAATGCCGTAAGTTTTACATTTGAAAATTTCGAAATTGACGGTTTTCCCTTTATTTGTAGGTGACCGCGTAGCCATTGAACCCGGCGTACCTTGCAGGATGTGCTCATACTGTAAGGAGGGTCGCTACAATCTCTGTCCCGATATCGTCTTCTGTGCAACGCCTCCTGTTGATGGTTCCTTGCGACGCTTCTATTGTCATGCTGCTGACTTTTGCTACAAGTAATTGCTTTAGTTTAATTTGAAAAAAATTTGGTTTTTTTCCCTGTTCACGGCACAGGTAGTGACCATTTTAACACTTGATAAAGAAGTTGTGGTTATTTTACGTGAAAAAAGTACTTGTTTACAAGGCATAATGTTGTTTGGTAAACAAATGCTTGCCTAACTGCAATTGTGGCCGATCATGGGGTGACCGGATGGTCATGTACTAGCGGTACTTTCCTCGCCTTCCATCGCTGTGACCCAGGTTCGAGTCCCACCTGGGTCAATATGTGGATTGGGTTTTCAGTCCCTACCTGATTCCGTGGGTTTCCCCAGAATATCTTCTGTGCTTTTCCTCCCACCTCTAAAACTGTAATTTCTTCTCATTGTCTTCTCTCTAAGTTGGTGGTTGATGTGGTGTTTCCCCTGCTTTACCGACTTTAATATACAGATACAGAATATACAGATACTTTGACGTCATATGATCTAAACCTATTTCACTTTTATTTTCAGGTTACCAGGTCATGTGACCCTAGATGAGGGTGCTCTCTTAGAACCCCTCGCCGTGGGTGTGTACTCCTGTCGGAGAGGAGGAGTGCAACTTGGCAGTAACGTTCTGGTTCTCGGATCAGGTCAGTATTTAAGGAACGGTGTTGTGGATCTTATTATTAACCCTAACTCGCTAGGCAGTTTCCTCTAGCGAGACCTGTCATGTCAGGAGGATTGACAAAGTGGTACTACCCTATGGGCTCCGTGCGCCGACGAAAGAGGGCGCCCTTTTACCTAGCAACGACGTCCCATGGGCGGGACATTTCGCTGGTTGATGCGCACCGTTCCTTGTGTGTGACGCATGTACACCAGGGGATTTGTACTATGTACACGCAGTGGCCGCGCTTCACGGCAAATGAATTGCAGTCAGGCAAGATGGCGTTGGTCGGTCACCCCCAACTGTACCTTCTTTGCCGGTGAGGGGGTACTTGTGAACGGAGCCGATGGGCTCTATGCACAAGTACCCCCTCAACGGTAAGAAATGGAGAGTAGGGTGAGACCACTGGGAGGGCCATTCGAACTCATTGCAGACGATGTGTGACACTCACGCAGAGACGCTATGGGTGTGTGCACATTCAGAACAAAAATAGTCGTTTGTGTATTTCATGCCATACGCACACAACGCAATACGCAAGCGGTGTGTCCCATCCACAGCAAGGGCGGATCCGGAGGGGGGGGGGCCATCCCCCCCTCCAAAAAAAAACTGAATCCCTTTTCTTTTCTTTTTTTAGTGACTTCGCAATAAAGGCAGGCAATGAGTACACAGCCATCTTTTCCTCAAAAAACATTGGTTAAAGTGGTCAGAAATGGCCTCAGATTGCACCACAGAGCATCTAGAACCCCAAAAATTGTCTTCTGGATCCGCCCTGATCCACAGGGCTCTCAAAAGTGGTAAAAAAAAATTCCCTCTCTGTACGCGCACAGAGCCCATACAGGATCGAAACCCCAAAGTTGATCAATCTTACCCTCCTGAAAAAAAAAAAATTAATCAAATATGAAAAAAAGGAAGGCAAATCATATGGCTTGAGTGTTGTGTGGCTTGAAAAGTTTTTTTCATTCAGCAGATCAGTCTATTTTCTAACGTTATCCCTGCAATTGTTGTGCCCTAGGTCCTATTGGCTTGATGTGTCTTCTGAGTGCTAAAGCGATGGGAGCAGCCAAAATCATTGTCACAGGTAAAAAGAAACACTAGCTTCTTCTTTTTTTCAGGGATGGTGCATTTTCCGTGGTGCCACTCGGGAATGACCCTAGGTTGTTAGTCCGAGTCCAAATTACTTAGCCATGGCTTGCAAATTTCCAACGATTTTGTTCAGCAAATTTACTTCATGTTTTTTTAAACACCCCTCTAGCTATGTTATGGTATGTGCCTCACGATTAGTCGTAAACAACTCCGTCTATGGAGATTGGCACGTGTGTGGTGCGTACTGCGTGATGTGGCGTAGACCGCAGCGGTGCCAGTGTAGTGTGAATTTAGGATTATGAAATACGCACTCATTGGTAGTATTAAGCATGCCTAAGTGAGGATTGGGAACGTTCAACCAATAAAAGGGTCAAAAGAAACTGCCGAGTCTAAACTTCGAGTCCAAATTTCATGTAACACCAGAAAAGTGTTTAAAATCAACCAGCCGGGGTTTTATCGACCAATAGTAATGGGTAAACTGTCTTAGGTATTATGAATACATATTCATTAATACCTAAGAAAGTTTACCCATTCCCATTGGTCGAGAGCCTGTCACGTGGCCAATCTTAAACGGATGATAAAGACATGGCTGGCTGGTCTTAAACACTTTTCCAGTGTCACATGAAATTTGGACTCCTATGAAATCCTGTGCCTTTTACCATTTTATTGGTTGAACATTCACAATCCTCAAGCAGGCATGTGCAATACTACCAGTGAGTCAGTGTTTCATAGTCCTAAATTTACGACGCACCCACCACAGCTGAATCTGCGCGTCATCACGCAGTACGCGCGACGCGCACACCAATCTCCATAACAGGAGTTGTTTTCCTCTTACTTGCAAGCTGAACACTCCATTATACAGCTAGAGGGGTGTTTCAAAAAACAAAGTAAAGTTGTTGAACGAAATCAGAGGAAACTTTTGACTTGTTTTGACTTTTGGACCTAGAAGTTTAGATTTTTCACCGAAAATGTATTTATGAATGGGAATAAATATGTGCTTGGTCGGCATTAAACACCACGTTTAAGACCGGTTGGAGTCTGGAATGCTGATAATTACCCTCGGCTTCGCCTCGGGTAATTATCAGCATTCCAGACTCCAAGCGGTCTTAAACATAATGTTTAACACCTCCCAAGCACACATTTATTCCCTTATTAAAGAAGGATTCAGCAACTGAGTCTCACAAAGTATGAAGAATTCAAACTGGGGTCACCTGAAATATTTAGCTCGGCTGGTAGAAAACTGAAACACAGGCTTTGTAGGATTTGATGCAGTGCCACAGTGATTCGATGCAATAGCAATTTTTTTTTTGGTGTGTGTCAAATTTAAGACCTGGACCAGGGTCGTCTAGACATGGCCAAGAAGCTGGGAGCCCATCATGCATTGCGGGTGGACACTCAGGACTCTGAGGAGATGGCACGTAGAGTGGAGGCGGCATTGGGATGTAAGCCGGAGATCAGCATTGAGTGCAGTGGAGCAGAAGCCAGCACTCAGACAGGAATCTATGTAAAACATTATTTTTTTTTGTTGGGGGAGGGTTAAATTTACTCACTGGGCAAAATTTGTGATACAAACCCCTCTCAGAGGGCGTAATAAAAGTCAGACAATGGCTTTTAATTCGGGTGATTCACAATGCAGTGCGCCACCAAGAGTTTGCCATGGAGAGTTAATTTTTCCCATTGCATTGTGGGAGATGGTCAACAAATTCGCAGCGCGGGACATTTGAAATTGTTGCTTTTTCCGGTCAGTAGTTTTGTAAGCGTATGATTCGAGTATATGTTTGCCCTTTTCTTTTCTTTTCATCACTATGGTGTTTTTTTGTAAGGCGGCAGAATGCTATGTCACAATCTATAACAAATTAGCTCAAGTTGTCTGCTGACACTCATTCAAATGGGCAAAGTTTTGTCGACCGTAAACTTGAAAACTGGACTCTTCATGGCAAACTCTTGGTGGCGCACTGCATTGTGAATCGCCCGAATTGACTCGGTGTAAACAATGTTCAGATCGTGTGCTTTCACCGACATTGGTTTTAGTGGAGTAGAGGGTAAAGTCATTTTCTGCGCTCATTCTGGTTTATTAATGCGGCTGTCCCCATTTCTGAAACCTTTGGCTGTGGCACCACTGTAGTCTCTGGCACCACTGAGAATAATGCTGGGAACTTTAAGCTCCATTCAAATAGAAAGGCTCGAAACTGTGGCTTGGAACTATCAGATTGTGATGTTCCTGTAACAGAAAAACAAGGACTCATGTTGAGTTTGAAAAACTATAGGCGGGCCTAAAATCAAGATACAGCTGGAGACTAAAGAAAGCTGCTGAAGACGTACCTTCCAAATATTTGTATCTCTTAATTGATCGCTTGATTTTTTTTTTTCGCAGGCCACCAAGTCAGGCGGAGTGTTGCTTCTTGTCGGTAGAGGGCGCTATCACCTACTTCTTCCTATAGTCAATGCTGCTGCGCGAGAAGTGGACATTCGGGGTGTGTTCAGATATGCAAATTGGTAAGCACTTTCTGTTTGGGCTTGTTTTCTCATGACGAAACAATTGTAATCGACCCAAAACAATTGTGAAAGGAATAGAGAAACTGCATAACTCAGAACTTTTAATGATGGGAATGCTGTCCAACATTTTGTGTTTGTGCTAATATAATCTTCTTCGGCAAACTGGTTCCCCTGCCGAACCATAGAAAAAGAGTGGGTGGAGTTCAAGGGTTTCACCCCCAGACCACCCCAAACCTCCACCCTTACCCCCACTGGGACACCTTTACCTGTTCCTGACACAAATTGGCTTTGAAGAAGCAAAGGTTGTACTTGCATGAGCATTTCGTAATCCTACCCTGAGGACATCATTTATTTCTATTTATACCCAACGGATACAATTAAGGAAGTTTGGAATGACCTTTCCAAAGGTTGTGCATTCAATTTAATTCAAATTGGTTTTTTTTTTTTTTTTTTTTTTAACATTCACACTTTTGTAGCTACCCTCTTGCCCTGGAGATGATTGCATCGGGCAAGGTGGATGCCAAGCCACTGATAACTCATCACTTCCCCCTGGAGAAGACCCTGGAGGCATTTGAGACGTCCAGGACTGGAGCAGGAGGGGCCATCAAGGTCATGATCCACTGCGATCAGTAAGACAGATGGAGGAATCCGAAGGCATCATCATTATCTGATCCTAGTTGATGCAAGATTAAGACCGCAAAAGGTCTGATAACATTAATCTTGGAGACAGCAAAATCCCCACAACAACAACAATCCCTACAAAACCAATTGAAAGTGATCAAATCTAATAAGGTCACGATACACTGCCATTAGTGAGATATACTGTTACCATGGCAACAGAATCTACTGTGACCAATTAAAATGTCACATTGGATGCACAAAATCACCATGGAAACAGTAAGATGCTTAGCCATCGACTGTGATAACGATCTAGTCAGGATACGATGCAATTAATGCGATTGTGAGGCACAGCAACCTGAGACCAAACAGCAATGGAAGTTGATGAGATCTATCAAACTAATGATACCTTGGACCTCGAAATCAGGTATCTCCATGACAACGGTGAACGGTGAAGCACGCTGTAATAATTAAACACTTTGGAATTAACTTCTCACCGCGGCAGGTCTGGTTGAATGTTTAACAGTTGATCAGAGTTGGAAATTAATTTGTATGTGAAATGTGATGACTAAAATAAAAAGAAGTGCTGTTATACAATTGCAAATTTGTACATTCTGTAATTAATTGCTTCAAAAAAAAAAATTATCAAGTAAGTGTTATTTATAAAAAAAAATCACATTAAAATAATCTGACCGTCCAGATTTTTGGTATTACAATTGCTTAGTGTTTTTGTCATTTTCAAGTTGCAGATATGCAGAATAACAAGTATCAATTTTTGTTCCTATATGCACTTGGATTGGTACATAAGAAACCAGATTGCCAGAGTGCATCTGGGTTTGATTTGCATTCATTAGGGGATGTTGAACAATAGAGGACAAAAGGGTCCACAATTCCTGAAGGTCCGCAATTGACATTCATGTACAAAACATAAGGGAGGTCTTCCTAAAAAGTTAACAGAAGAGGGACAATAGGGGTCCACGGTATACGGTGTTTATATACACACTTGTGTGATTTGGTTGATTTTTTTTTAAGCTGTACCAATAAAAGATTTCATATCTAGATATGCAAAAGTACATTTTCTACTTTGGTTCCGAGGCCACTACGTGTATCTTGAAACAGTTAAACTTTTTTGTTGAGTTTAATTAGCAAATTGCTGGCTTTGTGGCCCATTTCTACGACTAAGCTTGAATGAAATTGAAACCAAAAAGAGTATTTATCAATTTGTACTTTATTTTCTTTCAAAAGTGGGGTTAGCTTCAGCACAACATCTTCTAGGGCCTAGGGGTATCATCTTCTAGGGCCAGGGGGTAAAGATATATACAGGGTGGATAAAAAAAAATGAAACTGAGATATTATTGCTAATTGGAACAGAAGTAGGGCACATGTGTGAAACAAAGGGAGATATCCTCTGTTAGGGTTGAATCTCCTCTTTAAAATGACACCCTGATCATGTCCTTACATTCACGGTTGACTGAGCTGTGACCAATTTTATGAAAGGGTCTATTTAGAGACTTGCGCCACTTTCCATGGTGAAATGTCTTTTTTCCCTACCTGCCTTGATTGGCAACCATAGCCTTTTACTCTGTTACAATTGACACAACAAAAACCACAAACTTGAATATTTGTTTAAAAAAAGGCTCTATTTTGCAATGGAGCAAAGGTGTCCAAAATCGTGATGAGCTTCTTGAACTGCTGATTAATACTATTGGGATAACCATCTTTTGATGTAATTTTCTCCCCAAAGTCATCGTTTAAATCCCCCCCCCCCCCGAAACAAAAAATTGAACAGAAAATGAAAGATGAAATAAGCTTTAATTTGACAGGTGTCCCCAAACACCTTGGAGTGTTGTATTTCATTTTTGGAAGTACGCGTAATTAACATCGAGGTCTAAAAGGGAGTCGATTTGCAGGCCTTCGCACAGCCAGCCAGGAGGGCACAACCAGGTTTTGCTGCCAACAGGTGGCGCGCTATTTGTAGACTAATTTTCCGGGTACACTAGTCATATCACATCGCATGACATGTACGGTTTATGTACAAATTTAAGAATCCACGAGATGGGACAACCCCGTTGTTACACACGCTAGATAGACCGGCAGAACTCTCAAAACGGAACTAGCAGACAAGGAAATGGATTCTGTAAAGTGTTAGCTGTGTGTTTACAATATTCATCGAGTTTTTATGCAGCAGATCTGGAACCGACACAGACATATTCAGTCATATGTGGCAGACGCGACAGGCGGAAGAAAAGTTGTGTTGGTGCTCAATGAGCTTGAGTCGAGGCCGGCCGGAAGGACGTACAGCCCCGTCAGACCGTCGTGAAAGTTGGCACAGGAATCTTGGACCACCGCGGACTTTCGAACATTTACAACCACACGATTTTGATACTTGTCGGAGTGTGTGACATCTCACCAACACCTTGCATGTTTTCGAGGTGATACGGTGGGGGTTATATAGGCTTGGTTTTATGCCGTGGAAGAAGTGGAATACGCGGGTCGAACGTGGAGACAACGTGTCAAGAGTAAGTAGACAGACTTGAAATGCCGTCATTTTTGTTTTCTTAAAAAAAAATACAATGTATGTGGAAAGAGTTCCATACTGGGCCACCACTCATTTGCCCTAACATGACCTGTAAAGAACCAAAAGTTGTAAATCTGATGAAGAAACACTATAAAAAGGAGTGCAAATTTTGTTTAAAAACTTAACTTTTTCTGTCATAGCCCATAGACTTAGTGCAGGAGGTCTGAGTGGTGGCCCAGTATGGAATTCTTTCCTTGATGGCTATGTAGGTGGACATGGGTGTGGACATCCAGGTATTTTTTTTTACATTGTTTTTTTTTATTCCTCCTTGGTTTATCTAGCTCCCAAGATCCATGTTCTTGAAACTCAATGGTTCTTGAGTCTGGAGTGCCAAATGGTATTTTAGCAACCAATGAAAACTGGTCATGCTGGTGTGCACAGTGAATAGATGTTTTTATCAGAAGACGTCACTCTGCCACAATCTTAATTCGTATAACACTGTGTATACCGTACTGAGTCTGATACCTCCTGAGTGAAAGTTGGAAAAACTCACTTGGATGGGACTTGAGTGAATGGAATGCTGTGGTCACGTGATGCAACTTTCAACAAACGCTTCTCTACTGCACTGCATATCTCTTGGAAAAGATGCTTAAAAAGTTAAATACTTGAGTTGCCCGGCAGTTGCCTGTTGGTGCGACGTCCTACACAGGACACTACCCCTAGAACTAAGGGGCTTGCTACACAGACCCCATATATAGGCATATCAATGCAAACCATGCTGGATACTATAGGTCTATCCTTAATATACACTCAACGACCGAAAAAACCTGTCAAGAGTTGAGTTTTGGAGCGGCCGCTATATATTTTAACCCAAGACTATGCCCAGTACTTCTTGACATACTCACATTCAGTCCACTCAAAGTATAACGGTTGAATCGATTCCGATGGTGCAAATGATGAAAACAGTCCAATTTCCATACCAAAGCTACAGTTTGAGTTTTAACGTGCACGTGAAGCGTTGTTGGCGTGACGTCAGAATAGTCAGAGTCTTTTGGTCTTTTAGTGTCAAGACGGGCCAATCACGAGGCTTCACGTTGAAATGCCTTTACTATGGGGTTTGTGTAGCAAGCCCCATAGTTCTAGGGGTGACAGGACACATGGTCTATAGCCTGCAAGACTAAGGACGAATTTTGACTTTGGTTGGTCGTACTAGCGCCCGAGCCGAAAGGGCCCCTACAATGTAAACTACAGTATTTTCACGAACATCCACCTCAAAAAGTTGCTAAAAACACGGCAAGGACTTGACGAAAATACCTTATAAAGTGCCTTCTGGCCTCTCCACGTGTCAAAGACGAACTACTGCTCCCCACTCCCCAGCTTCAATGGTACGAGAACTCGATCATTTTTTGAGCTGCAAATCGATGGTATACATTGTACATACATGTACAAACGTACTGTGTTCATTTTCCTGCCATTATATCATTGTATTTTCAGCTGACAATACACCTGTGCCTGTGCATTCCCCCTGCCTCCCCCAAACCAACAGGAGTCATTTTCAGAATAAAATGGCATTATATGAGTATACACGTGATAGGCCTACATGATGTAGACTAAAGTAATTTGTAACAATGAACAACTATACCGTAAGTTGTACTGAAGTTGATGGCTGACCAAGCAGAGAAAACACTGCAAAGAAAAGCATTTTTTTTATTTGCATACTTAGTGAAATCTCTTCATGTTGTAGTTTATTTACATGATATTATTATTATTATTATTATTATTTATTCGACCAAAACAATACACAATTAACAAACACGGTATGAAGCACAAAAACTAAACAAAAATGTATGAAAGCTACGAAATACAAAATAAAACAAAATAAACACAAAAGACGACACTGTATAAGTGTAAGTGTAAGTGTAGGGGCCACAAAAACAACGCATAATATGAAATGAAAACATCCGAAGACGATATATAAAAAGACGATATGTGGGTCAGGGGTCACAAAAGTAAATTTAATTACTATTACCCACAGGTATGTAACCCCGCACATATTAAGCAGACAAACGCAGACAAGAACAAAACAAGGTACAAGAAAATAATGAAAATATTAAACAGCAACAAAAAAAAACTGGCCCCTGTTACAAATTACACGCAAGCAAGAAGACTAATGCAACGAAACCCAAATCATGTGAAAGTCATGTGAAAGTCCCCACCAATTAAATGCAGCAAGTACATGTATATGAAAACACTAATGAGGATAATGAAATCAGTTGTCTGAGAAAAGTAATTGCCGAAGATTCCTAAGGAAAACAGGTAGAGTGTCCAGTACTGCAGAATCCCTTATATGGGGTGGAAATTGGTTCCAAAGTCTGGGAAGATAACGAGTAGGAGAATGATATAAAGCTTGTGTACGAGAAGGCAGATGACGGAAGGTAAGGGATTCTGGATGACGTGCATTTATGAAAACATTGTCGTTGATCGACTCGCACCTACAAACACCAGATAAACATTTGAAAGCAAAAGAGCAAAGTAAATAATCTCTTCTAGATGAAAGAGAAGACCAGTTTAACTGACCCAACCTATCCTCATATGACATTTCACCGCGCCTTTGTTTCAAAGCAATGCGGGTGGCAGTGCGTTGTACCTTATTGACTTGGCTATTCAAATTACAAATTGAAAGTGCACAATTTTGTACGGATGATATGTCAATTGACCTTTTGCTCTGTATTTAGTGAAGGGCATTTTGTTCTCCACGTGTTTGTTGGAGTATTTGAAGTTTTGCACAGTTAGCCAAATACTTTATTATTACTAGATAACTGAAAGTGACGGAGGGTGTGACTGACAAAGTGCACATTTTGTGGTAAAAAAGATGCACCATCTCAAACACTTCATAAAGTCTATTTGAAAACTATAGTCTGACAGTGTGTGGACCTACAGCGCATAGTTTTTAGTGGAGATCATTCGGAAACTGGGTTTTGATAATGCGATGGGTTTACATGTTTACATGTTCCTTGTTTGAAGTTTAAACAAAAGCTGAATGTTTACAAAAAGAGAGTAAATGTTGAATGTTGGACCTGTGTTGGTTTAAGAGCAGGAAGTCAGAAATCGAAGCCAGGATTATTCTGAGCTGATGGCTGTTGGACTTGATGTCGCTATACATTCTGTGCTTCAGCAATGTACCAAATAAAGGAATGGTGGGACTACAGCCATGGGCGTCAATCCTGGGGGGGACAGGATTTTTTGAACTATTTGAAGGGTGGGGGACACAATATCAAAAGTCCCCCCCCCAGATTTTTGAACTCGTGCCTCATTTACAGGGCCCTATTATGTACTACAATGTATCTTTTGCTCAGAAAATATTGGTTAAAGTGGTCAGAAATTGCCTCAGATCACACCACATGAGCATCTAGAATCTGATTTTTTTCGGGGCCCTTAAGCGGGTTCCGATCCCCACGTTGTACGGGCTTCGCACTTTGCGCTCGCATTATTTCTGATCAAGGTATGTCCCCCCCCCCCACTTTTGAGAAGCGATTGACGC